CCGGTTATTACCGATCCATGACAGTCCCTACTGCAAGACACTCACAGGTACGTTGACAATAAATCTTTCGAGTGAAATGGCCACTTGATATTAAATGTGGGATTTAGTGGTGTGCCTCTCCCTTGACAATACTTTTAAATCAGCTGGAAAAGCTGTAGTAGTCAGGAAGGATAAATCACGCACCAAGCTGATGAAAGGGGGGATCTTGAGTGTCTTGAATGAGTTGAATGAGATCCTGTCATGGGTACAATCTCTCCTTCTCCCTCGCAATCTTCACTGGCTAAAAAATAAATTAGCGATATTGCCAAAGCCAGTCACCTGCTGAAATCCATGAGATCTTGGATGGGATTGCAAAACCATGCAAGGAACTTGGGGTGCTGCTTCCATAAATGCTTGTAGTTGATAATTGTTGTCACGTTCGGGGTAATGTTACCCAGGCAATGCCACAAATTCGTGTCTTGCTTGATGTCTATCACTTCATGATGAGGTGGGATGGCTGTCTTATAGTCCATTGATAGAAAACTCACTCTCCTTTGAAGGTACCTGGCTGTAGTCCTCAATGGAACTCGAAATCCATATCGATCACAAGTTGCACAAGACATTTGGGATGTGATTTTGAAGAAGCCTGCAGGAAAAGATGGATCTGCTGAGTATTGGGGTCAGGAGGAACAAAGCAAACGTCTATGTCTTGCCTATGAGAAGTGGGATGCAACTGGGAAAGTGTGGTCAGCTTCTGCAGCAAAGGTTCGGGCACTGGATTTGGATGTTACCTTGTTGAGAGATACTCAATCCGTCTTGATTAGGTTCATGCTGATCAACTTGTTCATGTGAGGAAGGGGTGCCTTGCACACCTTTGTCAGGATGTTGCATCTGATGGAAGTCGCATAGAGGGCTCCCACAAGGGATGGAACTCAATAATGCGATCATTTTCGAGTGGTCTTGAGGTTTACACAGCCCTCGCGCATGACTTTGTGTTGCATCGAAATCTTCGAGTTGTGGCTTCCTATGGATATAATACAGGTGTGGTGGGCAAATTTGTTGCCTCGACGGATGGCTGTCATCACTTGAGTTTGGTGGATGCCATTGCACAGCTCTTCAATTCCATTCACAGAAAGTCGGAAGGTGGGGCGGTGATCACTCTTCCTGTGTTACCTAGGGTTGATAGTGGAGAAACATTCGGATTGGTGTCCTCTAATCACACCGAGACCTTTGGGGGGCTCTTGATATTGAAGGAGGAAGTAAACGAAGATCCTTTCATGTCAGTCCTTGAAGCCTGAGAGGCAGAAATGGGTCCAGACTTCGAAAGCGGAGTTACAGCTTCACACTTGCAAAATGTAAGTAAACGCTGCGTACTAGGTTGTAAACCAGAACTAACCTCACTTGGTATTGAGCAACCTCACACTGTACCTTCCAATGCCATGGTAGTCTCAGAGATAGCGGCAAAGCGCAAGAGCCCAGATTCTCCAAATATGATTGAACTTGATGGTGAGGGAAATGTTGTGAACCTGGAAGAACAATCCAATGCCAAATGACACCATCTGTTGGAGACAAGTAAGGTCAGTATACAGGATCAATTCACGGCATAACCAGACATCTGACCTTACTCTTAGGATTATGTCGCAGAGCTTGGATCAACGTCTGGGGGAATCTACAACAGCTCCAAGCAGTATTCACACATTTTTCAAACAAACTCAGCACCTAACACAGCAAACACTGGAAATAACCAAAGTAGCAACTGCAAGATCATCAGATCCAAAGAACCCTCAAGAAACGCAGTGTGTTACCATAGCAGCCAAACCCCCAAGCAACACTCTAGAACCTCTTCCCCTTCCAGGGCGGCACCCTCAGCTGACTCACTCACAATTTATCTTCTCTGTTTCTACTTCAATCAACCCATGCTCACTGGCAATCGAACGGAAGGATGAATTCTTCCTTTTCATGGAGATGCGCGCAGAACATCAATGGGTGTCCTTTTCAATGACTTGCCGAAAATGGGTAACTGCCACTATTAGCTTTAATGTGCAACTCAAGGAATGGAAAAAAGGGGAAAACCTTGACGTCGTGAAGAAAAACCTGCATGCGCTGATGGACAAGCTTGCCGAGGTTAGAGGTTGAGCAACAAATTATTCAACGGTTTACCATGGGAAACTTCGCCTGTAAGCAATGTCCAATGAAAATAGATTTGTTGTTCTGACCTCCTCAAGCACGCACTGGAGGAACAACCTTTTGGGAAAAGCACTGCCATGCAGTCACACTCATTAAAAGCGAAAATCTAAGTGTAGGCGTTGAGAATTCTGGGAAACCAACTGTGAGTTCAAAATGACTTCAAATGGAGTGAACAAACTAACGACGAATCAATGGCAATGCTAGCGTTGAGCTGCAACATGCAGCCGTTGCAATGTCATAATGTACCCTGGGCCCACTGGCTCACCGGAAAATCACTGCAAAGGATTTTGTTCTGATGGGGTTCGTCAGAAAGCTAAGTCGGCAGATGAGGTCCTCCCAATATGGCCTCAGCCATCAGGTATTTTCACAAATGGAAGTCACTTTCATTCTATGAAATTTTTATCTTTCATCCGCAAAGTTTACGAGAAGGTTCTGGCCAACGAGAATGGAGAACGTGGAGGTGCTTATTTGATGGAAGAAGAAGCATTCACCCACCTTTTGACACAACGGGTGCAGACACTCCCTTGCAGGATGGTCTTATTCCAGCTCTTTGATCTCATCCTTGTAGATGTTCCTGATGGGCTTATAGTGGAGCAAGAGGGGGGGAAATTCTTACACATAGATTGTCTTCAGTAGTAGTATTGTTTAAATGGTGACTATTTCTGTTTCAACTCCTTTCTAAGTCTTAAAAGTGGAACAAGAGCTCCAGCATTGTGCTGTTACGCCGTTCTGGGGTATCCCTAACATTGTTCTGTAGCAATATATCTTGTATAGAGGAACTATGGACACAAGTAAACATATTTAAAGTGTGCCCTCCCTGCCTACAGCAATAAGGTACAAACAAAGGAGGGGAATGTGGTCCATTGGGCAGAACATACAGACGACATGACTATGATTGATGAGAACGCTAAGCGCATCCGTCAACAGCGTTGGCTGCTCCTGGAGGTAGAATGACGATGTGGTATCTTGAATATTTCAGTCAGCAAGCGAGATGCACGCTCTGAAAAGTGAAACAAGCCACAAACCTCGTCGTACTTGTCATTCGGAGCCACCTTCCTCAGATCCCACACAATCCTACTACCACGCAGCATAATCCCACCAAAACTATAATCCAAGGCATGCTTGGCAGCAACAGGTCCAATACCAATCGTCTGCTCTTTCAAAATATGTTTACCCATGATGAGCTCCTCAATCTTACTGCTGGAATGGGTTCCCTGTTTGAAGATGTCGTCAAGGAGCCTGTGGGGAGGTTCAAAGGCTACACCTCTTGGACGGATGTAGGTGGTGTGCAAACGCATGCTGGAAATGCATGTTCATAGAACTCCATGAGCTTTTCACGCTCTTCGAAAAAGGAAGGGGGCGAGACCACTGACATCCATGATGTGTGTGAGGACGTGCGAGAGCAGCTAATGGCTTACGATTAAGAATACATGGTATTTCGCCAAAGAAAACTCAGATCCATTGAGCATGGCCAGGAACCTCGACGTTCTACCACCAGCGAGTAGCAGAGCCTGTTCGTCACTGTTGTGTCCAGGTAAGCTAATCAAAGAAGAGAAGAAGTGATCAGTGATCACCTACTTATTGTAATGTAGTCAAGATCACTTACTCTCCACATTTGCTGCCCGAACGATGTCTGCAAGTGTGTTCACACTCGCATACATGCAATTGATGACCTGGATGCGAGCTGGGCAGATAGTAGTGAGGCTTAGTGAGGGCGCGCAAAGGAGAAAACCTTGGGCAGGAAAGTGCCGAGGTGTGGGGAAAACCTTGGGCTCAGGAATGCACCAGAGGGCATTTGAAAACCCTGGAAATGCAGCCACCCAGCCGTCGTTCCAGGGTTTACAAAAAAACGAGCTACATCCGAGATATTTATTCTACCTTGCAAAATATAAGGTTTAAATTACAAATACAATCATTGATTGAATCATTTATTTTAAACTCCTAACTCTTATTTTTTGAACCCCTCTACAACAGCTGGCACTTTACAAGTGTAAACAACATAGCCACTGGAGAGCCACCGCTGTTTTAACCTGAATATAGTACTGTACTAATACGACCAACTGTTCAGGCCCCTTGGGGTGTGACACCTTTTGACCATCTCTTTGTCGCTTCATTGTCCTGCGTGATGCGTGACGAAGAGTTTTTGCTCTTCGTCCACCACATATTTCTCAGATGGTTTGGCCCAGCAACCTGTCAATTTTTTGGCTGGAAGGTAAGCATGCATTCCTCAAGTATAACATGGTTCTAAATATGCCAAATGTTATGTTTAAAACAAGGCACCGCAGGTCTGGAAAAAAATGACTATTTTTAATTCAAAAAAAAAACTCTTCAAAACTTGGTGTGATGCGTGACATCATGCCTACTTCCCTTCCTTCACATCCCTTTGTGATGCGTGACGTGAAGACGTGGTCGTATTAGTACAGTAGTTTGGGACCGGAATTTTATCAGTACTACGTGAAATAGTGACACGCCATCTATACAACATGGAATGAACACCTCGCAGACCCTACTGTTAAGTCAGATTAGGGACAATGTTGCACTACATTTCGGCCACTGACCATGCTTGTGGCAAATCCGCGTTGTCCAAGCCATCCTGAAGCACAACAAAAGGATGGTACCGACTAGGGACTCACATGTACCGAGTGTTTTGGAATGGTGTGTATGTACTCTCTGCATGAGAGCCGATAATAATGACTTGCACATCAACAGGGTATTGACTTACCGGACATCTCCATTGTAGTCCAATGGCGCGCCACATGTGATATGTGCACGCTTTGGCAGTGCTTCAGTCATGCAGCATGTGACTTCTCCCTCAATGCCATTGCACTGTTTCTGGTGGAGCCCAAGCACTTTGATGATACCAAAGCTGAGAAAGTGGCGAGGAAAGAAAAGCGGGATGGGAAAAGGAAATCAAGCCTGGCGGCAGCGTTAGGAAAAAGGAAGAGGGATGACAACGAGGATGATGGAAGCCACAGGATGTCATTACCACCAAGGGGGTGGCGGAATGTGGAAAAGAGACCAACACTCGTTATTTTTTTTTCAGGGTTCTGCCTGACACCCCCCCACCATTACCTTCCTAATGAAGTATGTTTTTCCCACACTCATGTTTTTCTTTTTTTTTTGAATTCAAAATATTTCCATGTAACAAGTCAACTACGCACAGGCGGTTGGCCGTAAACTAAGTTTAAGCTAAGTCGAGTCCACTGAAGATGCATATAACGGGCCTGTGCTAGCATGATATTGAAAAACTTGTTTAAAGACGGATCATCCTGGGTAAGTAGCTACACTGACGGCTACTGACGGTACAGAATGAGAGGGCATTTCTTCATTACTGTGCATGTGATAAATCTTCAAAAGTGACTCTTTAATGTGTAGGCCGAGAAAGAAAGTGAAGCATCCAAGTGGTGTAACTCATTCAGAGAAGGAAGAGGCACTTGGCCTGGGGCAGCGTGGGGAGTGTAGGGTGTGTCGATGTAGGTGATAGTACTCTTGGTTTGGACCGTCCGTGTCCGAAGCTGGAATGTTGCTGCCCTTCAAAATCTGAAAATTGATGGGGTGTCACTTTTTTTTTTCGGCCTTCGGCCAGACACCCCCCCCTCCTACCCTTGGTGCGGGATCCACGTCCCGCTACCCCCTTGATTACCACACAATCCTGGTGTTGATAACGCACTGCAGGACTTTATCTACAGCGGAATGGGTTATAGGGTTACAGTTCTCGACATTGAAATAAGAGCATGTCAAGATCATTTCTAGCTTCCGAAAGCAGACATACCCCGGCAGTGGGCCCTGGTGGCTATGTTGTTTACACTTGTAAAGTGCCAGCCATCGTAGAGGGGTTCAAAAAATAAGAGTTAGGAGTTTAAAATAAATGATTTGATCAATGAATGTATTTGTAATTTAAACCTTATATTTTGCAGGTAGAATAAATATCTCGGATGTAGCTCGTTTTTTTTGTAAACCCCGGAACGACGGCTGGGTAGGAGGCTGCTGGAAATGACGAATTTTCCGTCTCTTTCAAGTTGGGAGATCACGTGTACGATAGTATGCTCTAAATGCCACCATCATTGCATTGGCTCGGAACTTGCATCGATTTCTGACGGTTTGATGCTGACCGTTGAAAAGCTGGTAAAGCTTCTCCAGCAAGAATCACCCACGTAACAAGAGCGACTAATGAGTGGCATTCGAAATAGCATGTTGATGGATGGCACGGGATTTTCCGTGAGATGTTTCGAACTCCGAGGTCTTCCTGACCTCGTACTATAGTCTATGGTCTGTGGTCACCCACAATGCTCTCGCCGCAATGCCTGACGACACAGTTCGTGAATTATGCTGCCTCGTCAAAGGCACTTCAAATTTCATAATGATTACTATACCCGTCGACAAACTGGTTTATCACTTGAAGAAAATGGCTCATAGCGAGGTCAAAAACAGCAGTCTTCGTGGCACCGATGCTACGGACCTATTTGTTTGGAAAGTAAGGACAACCTTGAGGCTGGAGTGGATGTTTCCGCTCACAACTTGGCAGCTTAATCAACAGGAATCCCTAACACCTGAAGAAAGCCTTGGTGATCGCATTTCCTCACAAGGGCAACTCTCACACATTGCCGTCAAATTGGAGTCGAACGCTAGGATTGGGGATATTTTCCCAAAACAACCTGACTTGGGTCTCCAGATTGTACTGCAGCATGCACCTTCCGGTGAGTGTAAGCGTTTGTCTGTCAGGCGGCACTGAGCTAGCACAATTTCACAGCCCCAGTCTTTTCAAGTACCCGTGAGTAAGAGTCCAACCCACCTCAACCGCACGCTAACAATGCCGCTTTCTACTCGCTTTTTCCCACTTGCCCTTGTTCCCCTCTCGGACTCCTATCCACATCATTGACTATGCGCGTACATCGACATGTCGGACTGTTCCATCCCCTTTGATTCTATCATCCACGATTCTCCCATGGTGTCGGCTTACTTCACTACCATTTCTATGCGGTTAAAGGGTCTGGACAGAAACGCGGGCGTGAGTGTCTTGTTTTCAGATGAAGTCACTCTGTGGTAACATGGGATATTCCAGATGTAGCTGATATTAGTGCCAATATCATCCTTCAATGGTCTAAAAGAATCAAACTCGGCCTTCCACTGGTTTCCGAGCTTCCTGGAATCCTCGATCAGCCACTGTCGGACGCTGAAAAGATCCCTTTGTGCCGCTCAGATTTTGACAGCCTTGTCTCGAGCGTGATGGAGAGAAAAGATATTTGCAGCAAAGACGATGTGGAGAAGCTTTTCCGCATCAGTGATGAGGAAATTAGCGGAACACTCTACTTACTCTTTTATAACGCCGTTCTGGGTGCCGCACCACCAGACGATGGAACCGAGTCATCTTTTCATTCGTTCTGGGATGACAACATCCGAAAGGTCTTGGAGATGCTCACACCGTATGGGACGAGTATTCGGGACTCCAATCATAAAACCAGTACCCAGAAACTAAGACCGGACTACGGCCTTATCATAGGAAGTGTTTGTCCTTTTCGAGGGGAAGAGAAACCCTCAACCAGTAAGGACGATCCTAAGGCCGAATTATCCTATAAGCTCGCGTGGGTCTATGAACCTGTACAATATGTCTTTGGTGAGCATAATTACCTTGCTTCTACCCGAGCTTCTTCTCACTATCCCAGGTTATTATGCCATTGGGCCTGCCGTGACTCTCGCTGCAATCTGCGCCCCGAAGGAACCATCAAACACGCCATGGGTAGAAGACCTGGCATCCGCCGACTTGCGACTCAAGCGCGATCGCATAGCGCACCTGCGCCGACTCATCAACCTTGCCCCCTATATCTCCTCACTACTGCGGGCCATCGGACACCATGGGTCCCCGGAGTTCACTCTAATTGAACGGTATGTCCTTTCGATAGTTCTTATATCCCCAATGTGGAGTTGGAGCTTGTATCGCAGGGAAGGAAAGTCCCTGGAAATAGGGCTGAGATCAATCAAAAAAACCTATCATGGCGACCTTGGTCAAAAACGGGTTCGAATGATTAAAAACATATATGATCAACTGAAAGAGAAAGGCGTGCCTCATGTGGATACTCTTACATATGAAGATAGTCCGGCGATCTATCTCGAGCCGAGAGGAATCGACATCAAACCAGGCAACGAGAAGGCACTGCTACAGGCCGTCACCTGTGTTCTACAAGCCCTAAAGGTGTGTACCATAATTCACGCCCTGGCCTGTCAATTCACATCATATCTTAGGTTCTTCATCAACCACCAGCTTTATATCATAGAGACATCCGGTGGCCTAATGTTCTTCGACGGGCTGATGATCCCAAACTCTGGTTTCTAATTGATTGGGAAGATGCAGCTGGCTCCAATAATACGGCAGCAGATCATTTGTCCCCGGAAGAACACTCACCGCGCATTTTCGTAGATAATCATGGATGCGAAGTGGACATATGGGGTGTTGGGTCACTCATTACAGAGGCTTCTGCCTTTGTGGTTAATATCTCACCTGAGCTGCTGAAGCTTGGCATGTGGATGCAAGATGGAGGGCCAAGCGCAGATGATGCCCTGATTGCTGTTGAAAATTATGCTTCAAAGTTCTAGTTGGGTATTGTAATTAGAGATGCTTGGAACAAAAATACAGAGTCAGCCATCATTGAACTTCGGACAACTCATGGGAATGCACCCGGTACGAAGAGCAACGGGCCAAACTACGCGCCCAGAACCGCGAACTCGCGCTACCAGAGCTCCCAAGGGGATTGCAGCGCTAGCTGCTTTCATTCAGGACTCAGGTGCCTTCACGTTCACCGGGGAAAAGTACACGCCCAGGGGACCCCCTCCTTCGAAAAGCCAGAACCACCCAATATAGACTCATAGGATGAAGAGTCCGACGTAGGAGAGACCTAGCCCAGCCATACGACCATACCCGCGAGCAAACCCCCGCGAGCGCAGGAGCGCTCGCCTTTCCCTCAGCGTCACTGACGCAACAGACCAATTCCAGATACACGGCCCTTATACCCAACCTTTCACATATCCGATACCTTACGGCTACACAATGGATGATAATATTCACATAAGTGAAGATCCACAGCATATTTACACCGAAGGGAAGCCTTACGCTTCCCGTGCGTCTTAGTAGTAGACTACTTGTTGCACGTAAATCTAGAGAATCAAAAAAAAAACCTTCGGACAACTCGTTTGCCTATCGGCCGCCGAGGATCGGAAAAAGGTCGACAACCCCATCATGCGATTCCGCCTTTTTATGGAATCTCCAGGATGGTGGAACGCGGACGCTGAAACCGAGCTGAAGGCTCGCCTTAAAGAGGACGTCATGAAAGCGTTCAAGAGAGCGGAAACGCTGAAACAAGCTGAAGTATTAAGCGAGTTGTTTACCGAGGCATCCTGTGAGTCTGAATTTCAGTTCAAGTTGTCATGTTGAGCACGTAAAGATCCATTCGTACCACAGCTGATCACATGCTCGCCCCCAGCTCCCACCAGCAGAGCAACCCTGAGGAATTTTGCCTGATTCTGCCTCAACATGTTGTTGTACCTTCATTTCAATTTTCGACACTCCGACAGGCAACCACTGCCAACAGAATGAAAAGATCCAAAAAAATCTGAAGACAGGTTCGCTGGTTTTCCATTTCTTTCATGTAAAGCCGCTTGGTTGCTAAATTGATTGAAGCCATTGCGAAATAGTTGGGACATTCACTCTTGGATTGCCCCGACATAACATCGGCGGACTGTTGTGGCTCCAGTGGCGGCGGCAGCATCAGCGATCGGAAATGCCGCCAATACCCGTTTCAACTGAGTGGGCAAGATTCTGAGTACAAAAATACATGGTTTGAAATCGAGGTTCTCACCTTGATTGACGCGATAATTGTCAAAGAAGCTTCAACACAACAGGCTCTGTGCTAGAAAGATCAGATGAGCAACCTGAGCATATGATACTTCAGTCATTTATATGGACTGGCGTCCGGCGAAACTGTAGAGACCGCTGGGCAAAGCGAAGTGGAGGAAGCCCGATCGCGTTGTGAGAGAGAAGTGTTTTTTTTTCATCCCCGTCGGACCTCCACAAACCAACGGCAGTCCCTCAGTCCGAATACTACCGACAAAAGACCGTTCTGATTTATATGCGGAATCCAATGGAGCAGATGGCTCGTTAGATTCACGATTGGTTGGCTACCGCCACAACGATAAAAAAGGTTTCTGGCAACCGCGGTCCGCAGCCAGGAATACTTAAGAACGAACATCACTTTAACTTAGTATCCGGCCGCTATACCATTCTTTCTCGAATTGCTTGCCGCTGGTATCGAGGTAAGTACTGAATCAATGCATCAAAACAAAAAAAGACATGCCAAAAATGAATTCGCCTTCCCGCATAACCGCTTGGACCACAGCAGCGACACGGTTGACATCTGACACTATTGAAAACGGTGTTAAGACCTGCTGCATCAATTTAGATTTTTTGAGCCTTGCCTGTGATGTTATGCCCGCGCCCCTTCAGGTCCATCAAGATATCGGGAGGGTATACGTCATCTGCATCCATCGTTAACGGAAATAACTGATCGTGTAGCCGACCAAACTCTATTGCATCACTGAGGTTTAAACCCCAGTCTAGGTTCAGCAAAACCTGAAACACCGCTCCAAATATGCGTGAACCACCGGAACCGCCAAGTGCAAGGAAGAAAGACACATCCTCGTGCTCCACGATGGTCGGCGCGGTGGAAGACAAGGGCCGTTTCCCGGGTTCGGGATAATTATCTTGTCGGATTCAGTCATCTGATTTTCTTCGTCGAGCCTAACAGCACTTACAGAGAGAAGGCCGTAAGCCAAAGGCATTTGGAACACCTGGCGTCGAGAAATCGTCCATTTCGTTATTCAAAATGATGCCAGTATTAGGGTCTAAAATCTGAGATCCGAAAATTAAGTTGACAGTGGACGTGTCACGTAAGTGAAGCCACCATGCCGTTTTTGTCGACAACTGAACTGTGACTCTGTGAACAAGTCAATAAAAAGCCCAGTTGCATAATTGGATGCTCCCACCGTTCCGTGGTCTTCCAATACATCATACTCCGGTTTATAATATTCAGGAGGGTGTGTTCGATACTATTCCCGGGGAAAAAAATATCAAAAATCATCCCTCGAAAATACTCTTACACGCACATCCGTGATATTCCCAAAAATCGTATCCGCGTAAGCCTTTGTAGAGATCTCCCCAATTCGATATGTCGAGTTGTTAAATAGCGGATCACAGACTTTCGTCCTGATTACAACGTCTACAAAGCTGCACATGAGGTGTGAGGAGAAACATTACCTGGCGGCAAATCCAAATTTCAAAACCTCCACTAGTCTGTGGACATTGAGGCTGGTCCTTTCCTTCATGTCGAAGTTCTCGATTAGATTTAGCATATGCAGTAAAACTAGTACGTCAGGATCAAAGTTGACGAAGCAAAAAATCAAAACAAACCAGGGCCCGAGGTAGGTGCATGGGATGTAAAAACTTTCCTGCCCTTGTAAACACCCTGCAAGGCAGGTCTGACTTGTACGGTGTAGTTTTCCAGGTCGGTATGTGTTAGTATTCCGCCAGTCTGTTGAATTTTGCGGACAATAAGTCTGCGATAGGGCCCTAGTAGAAACGTTTGGCGAGGCTTAATCTTGAACTAAAAAATATGGGAACCTTATAGAATGCGCCAGCACCTTCATTAGCAATCATAGCAAGAGTCAAGGAGAGGTTCATCCTGTGTATAACCTCGCCTTGTCGTAGAACTTTCCCAGTTGGGGCAAAGATGGCACTCCATTCGGGATTCTTCAGCATTAGATCTGGATACCACTAAAGAAAAAAAAATACACATTCAGATAAATGTGATTGAGAGAACCAGATAACCTGCCGTGATCCGCTTTGCCAGCTCTCGGTCGACCTTCCATCCCTGTGCCAACGCAATACTCGGTTCGATGAGACGCTTCCAGCTCAAGGTGCCCCAGCGGCGATGCGCTTCTTCCAGACCGCGCAGCTCACCAGGCACGCCCACGGCAAGACCCCCAAACTTGGACGATTCTGGTGTGCCGACGTACATCGTCGCATTTGCTAATGATGGTGCGGTCTCTTTAAAATCAATAGTATACATATCAGAGGCTTTACCAGGGCTACTTGAAGGTATCCGGACGGTCATGAAGCCTCCGCCGCCTAGGCCAGAACTAATTGGATGAGTTGGAGTAACAAGTATTTGAGGGGTTTTCAGGGGGCTCACGAAAACATATTAACAACACCAATACAGACAGTAGTCGCGATTGCCGAATCAACAGCATTGCCCCCCTCTTTCAGGACGTCGACGCCGATATCAGAACATAGTTTGTTCTCCGAAGCCACCGCACCTGACCGCGCTTTGACGAGGTAGGCAGGATTCCGGGGGCGCTTGAGTGGCAAGAACGATGTACCAGATACAAGGCTGTTGTACCGTGCATGAAATGCAAGGAAGCCGAGAAGAACAAGGCAGGTCAACCAGGTTGTTGGAAGCCGAGAATGATGGGGATTCACACCATAGAGCGGGAGTTCTGAAACGTCTGCTGGGAAAGGTAGGTGCTTTCCACGTTTCATGATGGCTCGAGAACTTGATGTTTGAACGATAGCCGACGAAGCTTGGGTATCAAGGCAATATGAAATATCATAGTTGTGGTATGTATTAGGTTATGGTTGGGTTGGACGCGTTAACTATTCTTCCCATGCCCGCTCATGTCCGACGCTTTTCTGGCGTATCCAACGACGCCGAGAGCGAATATTCACCACAAGCCAAACGGCGCAAGGTATCTGTACGCAATGCCCGTTTCGACGCGATGATAGACGCGATGAACGCCGTTCGGAGGATTTGTAAGTTCAGCAGGTTCTCTTTCCATGAGTGCTGACACAAATCCGGAGGGATGCAGGGAACAACGCTCGAAGATGTATTCCACAAGAGCATCAAAACCCCACTTTGGTCCGCAACGCTAACCGAAACAGATCCGGAGACGGTCATAGCAGCTCATCTGGCATTCTTGGAGGCTGGCTCACTTGTCATCATGACTTCGACGTGAGTAGCCAACTGTGGTGTAAAGACTACCATTAACTGCAAGGTTAGGTATCAACGCGCCTTCGAAACTTTCGAACGCGCTGGATACGGTGAAGCAGATGCTGTGACTTTGATGAACAAATCAGTAGAACTCGCCTCGGAAGCTAAATCACGGTTTCTCGCACAAAACCCCAGTATCACTGCAACATATATCAAGATCGCACTTGCCCTTGGGCCATTTGGGGCTACACTCACAACTGCGCAAGAATTTAGCGGATACTACCCCCCTCCTTATGGACCTCAAGAATTCACACCTGACTTGGACGGCACGAATACCAACGCGTTTTCTGCGGAAGAAAGCGAGGCGGAGGCTGTTGCTGTGGACAGCCTCGCTTCCTTTCACCTGAGGAGGCTACGTGTCTTCTGTAACCATCCATCGTGGGATCTCGTAGATGTCATCGTGTTTGAAACTGTTCCACTTGTGCGAGAGATCGCGGCAATAAGGAGAGCGGTGGGCATGCTCCCAGAATTTGCTATGAAATCATGGTGGGTTGCGACCGTCTGGCTAGATGGCGTCTTTCTACAGGAGTCAGTTCCGGGTGGGGAACGTCTATTGGCCGCTGACGTTGTTGATGCTCTCCTACGGGATGCGTCTCCAGCGAATCCGGTCCCCACTGGGATTGGCGTCAACTGCACACAAATTGAGTATTATCCAGAAATTATACAGGCCCATCGAATTGCCTTCAATGCGTTGCTACTTTCGCAGGTTGGAGACTCGAAGTTCGCGCGACCTCGGCTGGTTGTGTATTCAAATGGCGGGGTGAAATACGATCCCATTGCACATGTGTGGCTGGATTCTGGAGTGGCACACAGAGGAGGCACGGGTAAGGCGCAGTGGGTGAAAGAGCTCGTTAGCCTTGCAAAGGAGGAAGGCAAATTTGGTAGTTGGGCTGGGATTGTTGTTGGGGGATGTTGCAAAACTGCTCCAGACGATATTCACGCTCTTGCGGAAGAGCTGAAACTAAGTTGAAATCATATATACATTACGTTGTTGCTCATGTAGGATAACAATTTCCGATATACATAGTCTCTCCGCCTCAGCCAGAGCCATATTGACAACTCCGCAGGCTCGTGATCCACTATTAAACAGTTCTTTAATTTAGTTTTGGACCACGGAGCCATGGGTATCTCTGATCTGACGATGATGCGTCGATGGAAATTGTGACCCAATTTTATTTTACGCGCCTTTGACGTTTGTTTGGCGTGACGCGTAAATATCGCCATCACGTGCCACGTTTTCATGCGTCCCTGAAGGTCAACCAATGGTCAACAAGGACCCATACTCGTCCATGCCTGTCAATCCCTTCTTCTTCGCTTCATTTCATGTCACCCTCCCCTCTCGCAAAATCGGGGAAGAAACGTAGAGCATCGGGTGAATACCTTCCCCCCAATTTGGACGTGTCTAACTTTTATCATCTTGGAACAGGTCATGCGAGTCCTAACCAACGTCAGCTATTCGCGTTGCCTCAGAAGGCTTCCAATTGATTTATGCAGCGGCCACAGTTAAATCACCCCTGTCGCGAATCAAGGAAAAACGGGCAGGAGTCCTGTTGTTAGACCAAGAGTTAACGAATCACACCCAAATGGGTATGCTTCATTTTCAAGTCAGGCTTAAACGCTATCTGAACAATTTAAGTTTTCTTGAAGTCTTTGCGGAGCCCAGCGAACAAGTTGGCAGTGCAACCCAGCCCAACGGCTCCAACTCAACCTTCAAAGGAACCCAAGTCCCCAAAGTCGCCAACCCGTCTGTCGTTCGGCAACGAACCTCGTAAGTTGATATTCTCCTCCTTTTATAGGTATTTTACAATTGTTTGCAGCTATCATGCGGGGTTCGTACGAGGGCCCATTGCCTCATCAGATCTCTCGCGTCCTGATAACATGCAGTCCAAAGCGACGCCACGCCGTCTGTCAGGTGTATTTCATGATTTGCCAACTTTTCACGAAATCGTCCCCGCGGCTTTTACTTGATTTTACGCTTATCATGAATGGCGCGAACCTGACTTCGGAGCAGAAGCACGCCCTGATGACGGTTTACAACGAAGCTCATGGTATGTTTAATTACTTCTTCGGGCTCCCTCCCTCATATTCTCACGTTTCAGCCGACTTGGACGACGATCCTCCTCCTAAGGTAAGGCGAAGCCTAACGCCTGGACATCCACGGAGTAGATCGTCCACGAATAATGTCTCAGGGTCTTTGGTTATGGCCAAGCCTGGTGAGTTCGTAACCAATTAATGAGGACATATGTTTGACATGCTGACTTCTGGCTAGAAAGTCCCGTTCTTTTGCCACATTCCGCTCCTCTGCTACCTGCCGTTCCTCCGCTACCTGCCATTCCTCTACCGCTGTCCCGTGCGGGCACGCCTGCAACACCAAAAACTCTAATGGCCCTTGCAGACCTCTCTCCATCGGCGTCGACACGTTCTCTTGTCGATGTTCCGATAGAACAGGGTGGATCATCCCCCAAGATGACACAAATGTCGTCGCGAGGTCCAGGGTACCATATTGAAACATCTATGATCCTTACGACTAAATCCTCTCCTTTTAGCACCCCCCAAAAAGAACCCTCAATTTCTCAAGACGATATACCGCCCTTGTCTTTATCTGGGGAGGCAAACAATACTAGATCACGATCACCATTCAAATTCATAACCTCATCATTCTCGTCTTCAGTATGAATACCTCCCTTTGATACCTCGATATGTTCTTACGTTAACTTTACCAGAAGACCCCTGAGCGTTCAAAGAACAGTTCGGTCGTTGTCACCTCAGTTTTCTCCCCCGATACTCCAGAGCCCACCCTTTCTCATTCAACAAGTGGGGGAAAGCACAAGGCGTACCTGCGTTTTCTGAAGGCAACAGGGCTTGACCTCACTTGGAAACCGGCTTCATTCGATATCGGTGTGGGTTCCCAAGCCGAGAGCACTTCCTCGCGAAGTGAAGATGTGTTTGGACACCGTGTGGCCCAATCGCTACCTTCCAGGGCTGCGGGAAAGGATTTAGCTAGTAAGTCATGGTCCTAGTCGGCATCTCGAATCTCACGCGCTCTCAGAATCGTCGATCCAAGTTGACCTGAGTTCAAAACCAGACACTAACGCTGCGTCAGAGAAAGAATTACCTTCATTACCCGAGAAGGTGAGATACTGCATCAAATACCCTGACACGACTATTGGACACGACTATTGATCCACCCCCAGAGTCCGAGGGCAGAAGGCTTGTCAAAAAGTAAATCTTTTAATGGTAGACTAAGTACTCGGGCGTTGGCTCCGATGGTGATGCGTTCGCAGTTCCTGACGCTTCCTTCGCATATTGGGGCGAAGAAGGACAGACTCCAAGCATGTTTTTCATTCAAGTACCCACCTTTCCCGCCGAAATCATCGCCTATCAGCCCGATACCAACCGCGCAGAGCGACTCCGCCAGTGCTACTAATTCAGGGCTGTCACTGGGGGACTTTGGTTCCTCAGCGTCAGCAACCACACCCACATCTGCTGTCCAAGAAGTTTCGTACACCCCACAAAATGCTACCGATGGCTGGGCGTCAGCGGCAACTTTGCCCTCTTCTTTTCTGAGCATGTCACAATCAACCAGAAGATCCCAAGACGACGACATTCTGTCCTCATCCTTTTCGTCTCAAAAGTCGGGTTTTCATCGACTAACCTCTTCTTCCTCTCTTTCGACCGCTCAAAAGGATGGTGAGGAAGCGACCTTTCCGGAATCAGTTGCGGATTCGGGCTCCACTCTTCTTTCTTCGCCTTCCTCAGGGCATAAACGGAAACATACAGGAGGGGAGTCATCGTCATCACTTAAAGCACTTTTACCACCCTCTACCCCTCAAACCCGTCCTTCCTCTAAACGCATTCGATTCACTCCTCATCAAAAGCACTGGGAACCAGATGGAAATGTTCTCATTGAGCTGCAAGGCATACGGTTCAAATTGCAAAAAAGTCGCTTAGCAAAGAAGAGTCTGTGGTTTAGTGCGAAGTTCAGTGAAAACCCAGGGGATCTCGACGAGAACGAAGATGCTAGAGTGTATTGCATAGATGAGGTTGACGTTTCCCTGCCTGATTTCGAGGCGTTGATGGATGCTGTGGAAAACTCAATGTGAGTCCCACTTTTCTACTCAAGATGTTGTCACTGATGGTTTTCTAGAACTTTCATGTATGATAAGCCTTCCTTTGAGGTTATATCTGGTATTCTTCGCGCAGCTACTGCGCTCTCTTTCCCAGATTTTGCAACGTGGGCAAGGCGAAGTCTTGAAGAGACCTGGCCATCTTCCATCGAATCTTTATCTACGACTTACACCTCCGCCTTCGCCATAGAGACCGTGGTGTTGGCAAGGGATCGGCAAGTTCCTGATATTGTCAAGCGTGCCATATACGAGCTCGTCCGAACGCAAGATTTCGTGAGAGAGTTTCGCCAAAAAGGTGAAGATGCTATAGGCAAATCCAGTGCCACCCTTTCGCTTTCCGAGTTCATGGCCATCGTGGAAGTACGGGAGTTGTTTTCGTCGTTGTGGACATCATTTGCCCTTTCACCTATGGACCCATCGCAGTACTGTCAGCCGTCTGCTTCGACAGCACCCAGCAGTTCTAGATGTGCTGCCGGTAATCCCACATCACATCTCATCGCGCATGCTAAGCTCGTTCATTTTTCTGGAATTCTGGAAGCATATCAGCTGGATCCCATTTCTGGATTACAAGCCCTCATAGATGCTCCGTGGAAGGAGGAGGGTGTCTGCGCTGAGTGTGTTAGCTCGTGGAAGGATGTGTGGGGGAAGGCAAGACAAGAAATCTGGACTGAACTAGAAGGATTGTTCGGCTTGGTGGAGGCGTAAGAAGTGGAGAGGCGGTTGTGGCCTCTCTTGAGACGAATCTTGCAACATTGGACATACCCCATATGATCGCGTCAGTCATTTACTATCGCATAGCTTTGGTCCTTCAAGTCGTTATGTAAATCCTATGCATCTTCAGCTTATGTAGACGAAACCGTTTCGGTCGAATATTATTGAGCGACAACAATTGAGCTGGTTGTTCGATGGTCATTAAATTTATCTCAACATCTAATGTTATGTAGGTCTCCATCATCCCTCATCATGCTGCTGCGCGTTCTGAAGAAACCATCAACTGCCTCTATAAATATCTCCCAACTGACAATTTTGCTGAAAAGGATTTCTTGACAACGACTATACGTAACTCTGATGTCGATGTCCCAACCAATCTTTTGCTCAGCCTGAGTTCCAACAAAATCCTGCCTGTCGTCCCTTTCTCATCGATATGATACTCTGGATTGTTCAACTACACACCGCACGAGCGCCAAGAAACGGAGAACGCTCCAGGTCAAATTAGGGAGAAACTCTAAGGCTGCTGAAATTACTGGAACGGTGGGGATATTCTCTCACCGACATGTCAACTTACTTACTGATTTTCCCCACAGATCAAGGGCGAAGTCCCTTTTTTATTTTTGCACCTCAAGTGTTACGGTTCATTTTCCCAAGGTGCAAGACGATGTGGTGTACTGCTCTTCAATCCTACACTTTGGCCTCTCCAATGGCTGAGCCCCCCAGTGCCAACAGCTCACATCTTGGTTCTTCGTCACCCCTCCCTTTCCCCATCCCAAACTTTGGCAACGCATTCGTAGAGATTTCGGCGCTCACGACTTTCATCGGCTCGTCGGTTGCTGAGTCCTTAATTCTTGGGAATGAGGGCGGAGCAGGGGTTGCGTGGGCCACAATGAGCGCCTTTGGCCTTATGGACATGGTGAAAACATGTGTGGGCGCTGCCAGCCCAGGATGGCTCAGGACCATGATAGGTGCACGGTCAGAAAACACGGACGCAGCGGTAGGACTGGAAGTAGCCTCTAGCGCGCGCGGGAGGGGAGCGATGAAGGTCAGAAGGAGCTACGGAGAGAGAGGGCCAAGTGGTCTCTCGGTTGACGCATCAGTGTTTTTGAATTTGGTAACTGCTTTCGCTGGTTCCTGCAACTCGCATGTTCTGATGACGGCGCCCCGACATAGAGACGCAAGCCAACAGCCTCAGAATATGAAATTAAGTGGGAAGAGATTTACGCTTTTGACAAGTTAATCTCTCGCGGGTTGGCGGGTTTCCCGGATGACAAACCTCATGAAGCTGCTACCGCCCCAGAAAAAATTGCATTGCGGGATCCTCAAGCTCATACAGCTCGTAGGAATGTCAAAAAACCTTCAAAGCATATCGATATGACGCCCGATGTATATTTGTATAGTGTCAGTCCTTTCTATCCCCCCCACAATCCCTGGTTTCAAATTCCAGTCCTCCTTCTCAGTCTTGCCAAAGTTGGAGAAGGCTTCATCTTATACCACTTCGCTGGCGCCCTCGGCATTGTTACTCTCATTCCTTGGGCGTACTTCTTTCTCGTCGCCTGCATCATCGAACTCCGTGAGATAATTGTGGCCAGAAGGCCCGCAGTTTTCGATGGAGAAATTGACATCGTCGTTGGGCAACTCCCCAGTATGACCCAACTCGCCGAGTCACCCCCACAAAGTTGGGTCGTCATTGGTGCACCTCGAAGCCCAAGGAAGACAGTATGGTGGAAAGCTGCGTGGGTTTTAGGCGCCTTGATATGTCCATTCGTTACCGGGTTCACTTACCTTTCCCTGGCTCAGCAAACAAACGAAATCGTTATGCTTTGGCTTATGTTTCAAGGTCTCTGGTTGCTCGGTCGCATGTTAGTTCACCACTACGCCGAATCTCCCAAAGAGGCGATTGCACCCCGCTTGCTGTACAAGAGGCCTTGGGAGACTTTACCAGGTATCTTCAGAGAACGCATAGTGAACTTGATGGCGGCTCTCTCAAAATATATGGTATCAGTGCATCCGCGACAGGAACATGCATACCGAGATAACTCTAGCACGCCCTTGGAATTGCGAAGGATCATAATTGAGACACCGACCATGTTGAACTACCCGCTGAATGAACCTTGGAAACCATCCAATTATGATAGGTCGCAAGTCGATATTGAAATCCATGCAGTTATTGGCGACCCCACCCTCATCAGCGCAGTTTGGCTCGCCAATATCCCTGGCCTCACTTTTGAGAGCATGTACGATACGTGCATTCTCTCTTTGAAGCTTCCCCTAGCCACATCGCAATATGCCACGATACCGTGTGTTCGTTTTCTAGCTGGTGTCCCGGCATCAGAACCCCTCATCTTTGATGAAGAAACCAACCAACCTTTCGACTCCGTACCCCAGTTCTTTCCGAAAGGTCGGCTTCACGAACCCCAATGCACGTGGTGGTATCTGATCCCAGCAGGAGAACGAAGCTGGCTGGTAATCAGGCAGGATGTCTGGAGTCCAGTTCTTGGCAAACATTCAGCCGAAGTCATGTCGGATGAGCGTGTCACTGCCATTTTATCCCGGGGCAATCTTTTGATTAGTATCGCTCATGTCGACGATGTCAAATCTGCTTTGGAGAATTCAAGGAAGGCGAGGGAAACATTGACTGAGATTCTCTCATGAAGGATTTATGCGGTCTTTCCAAACATCAGTGTAATCAATTGTCTGCACTCTTTTTGTCATCTGTTTTTGCTGCGAATGCTTGCCCCTCCATGAAGGTTTCCTGAGTCAATATAAATTATAATTGCAGCTAGGTTTGAACACGGAGACTAAAAGAGATTACTGAGCTCGGAAACTTGCGATAAACAACTTCTGAGTCTCACAATTACACAACATGTATTGTTCTTACTCTTTCTTACTCCCTCCCTTTCCTCCTATGTCCTCTCCGAGTCTTTCCCACGCAGGTAGCAAAGCCATTTTCCTCAAGCAGGTTTGATGCCCTATCTCTCCTTTAGCCTCCTGCGATGGCTCAGGAGCACCTTGGTTCTTCTTCACTTTTCCCTTTCCCCACCCCAGACTTTGGCAATACGTGGGTAGGGCTTTGGGTGTTCACAGCTTTCATTAGTTCTTCGGTCGCTGAGTCGCTCATCCTTGGGAATGAAGGTGGGGCGGGAGTTGCGTGGGCTGCGATGAGCGCCTTTGGTCTTATGAACATAGCGAAAACATGTGTGGGCGCTGCGAGCACAGGATGGCTGAGGACCGTTATTGGTGCACGATCAGAAAATACGGATGTAGCGGTAGGACTGGAGGTATCCTCTGGCCAGCGAGGGAGGGGAGCGATGAGAGTCAGAAGGAGCTACTCAGAGAGGGGTCCAAGTGGCCTCTCTGTTGACGCATTGTTTTTGAATACGGTAATTTTTTTCACTGATTTCTGGTGTCCGCAACTCGCATGTTCTAATGACAGAGCCTCGACATAGAGAGGCAAACCAACCAATTTGGAACATAAAACAAAGTGGGAGGAGATCTACGCCTTCGATATGTTAATAACTCGTGGACTGGTGGGGTTGCCGATTGACAAGCCGCAACCTGTTGTCAAGAATACACTTCCGGATTTTCAAGCTCATGTGGCTCGTAGGAACATCAAGAAACGGTCGGAGGACGTCGACATGGCGCCTGATGTATATTTGTACAGCGTTAATCCTTTCTACCCTCCCCACGATTCATGGTTTCAAATTCCGGTTCTCCTCCTCAGTCTTGCCAAAGTTGGAGAGGGTTTGGTTCTATGGCTGCTTGCTGGCAACATCGGCATTGTTACTGTCATCCCTTGGGCATACTTCTTTCTCGTAGCTTGCATTGTTGAAACTCAGGAGATGATTGTGGCCAGAAGGCCCCCAGTACTTGATGGAAAAGTTGACATCATCATTGGGCGATTCCCCAGTTTGATCCAACACACGGAATCGCCCCAGCGAAGTTGGGTCATCATTGGCGCCCCTCGAAACCCACGGAAGACAATCTGGTGGAAAGCTGCCTGGGCTTTAGGCGCCGTAATATGCACATTCGTTACCGGGTTGACTTATCTTTCCCTGGCTCAGCAAACGAACGAAATTGTTATGCTTTGGCTTATGTTCCAAGCTCTGTGGTTGGTTGGTCGCATGTTAGTTCACCACTACGCTGAATCTCCCAGAGAAGCGATGGCACCCCGTTTGCTATACAAGAGGTCCTGGGAGACTTTATCAGATACCTCAAGAGACCGCGTTGTAAACTTGCTGGTGGCTCTCTCGAAATACACCACATCAGTGCATCCGCGACTGGAAGATGCATACCAGGATAACGTCAGCACCGCCTCGGAATTACGAAGGATCATAATCGAGACACCGACTATATTGAACTACCCGCTCTCCCTCCAGAAGGAACTTCTGCAACCATCCAATCACAATAACATACAAGTTGATATTGAAATCCATGCGGTTATCGGTGACCCTACCCTCGTCAGTGCAGTTTGGCTCGCCAATGTCCCAGGCCTCACTTTTGAAAATATGTATGATACATGTATTCTCTGCTTGAAGCTCCCCTCCGGAAACGCATGCCGATATGCCACAATACCAAGTGTCCGTTTTCTCAGTGGGGTCTCGGTATCAGAACCTCCTTCCTTTAATGAAGAAACCAGCCAGCCTCTTGACACCTTACCCCAATTCCTTCCGAAAGGTCAGCTTCGTGATACCCGAAGTACATGGTGGTATCTGATCCCGGCAGGGAAACGGAGATGGCTGATAGTCAAGCATGCAGTTGAAAGTCCCGTTCTTGGCAAACATTCAGCTGAGCTTGTGTCTGATGAACGTGTTACCGCCATTTTGTCTAGGGGCCATCTTTTAGTCAGTATCGCTCATGTCAACGATGTCAAGTCTGCCTTGCGTAATTCCCGGAAGGCGAGGGAAACGTTGACTGGGATTCTCTCATGATGCTGATGAGCGTTTATGCTAGCGTACGCGTACGGTAGTTGTAACATTGAACTTTGTATGTCCACACTTTTTTTGTCGTTTGCCTTTGTTGCAGCGGCCTTTTTCACCTCAACAAATGATCGCCACTCCTCCTTGATGGACACGATGAAAGTTTTCTGTGTCAATATAAATGATAATTGCGCTGCAATCCAGCTGAGCTAGTAAACTATGGTTGAGATTACCGACAAATACTGTTGATATTAACGCATTTTCGCATTCATCGTTCTTCCGATCCCTTTGACAACGAGCAATAGGTCTCTCTTGCCCCGCAAACTAGCAACGATACGGTGCAGTGGCATGAATATACCAGAATTCAGGTTGCGAGAAACAACCTCCAGAGCTTCGCCAACACAACTAGCGAAACATACAGTGAGTATGGGTAGTATCTTCGCTTGGAAATGAGAAACATACATCGTGATCATCGTTGAGAAATAGTCAGGATCTGCAAAATCGACAACGTATGGGGAATAACTTCTGGGCACCATGGCTAAAGGAGGACCCAAGCAAAGCAAATGGAGGGAAGGGGCCAACAGTCGATTCTCGAACCCGAAACAACAAAAAACCAGGACCAAGAAATGAAAGTTGACCATTTTCTTCCAGGAAGCTATTCTCAATAGCGTTTCCTGCCACTCATTTTGTTGGACAATTGAAAGCGATGCCTGAGCAAGAAGTAATGTGAATCGATGCGCTGTGGTGTAGTAGTGTTGGCTTCCAATATGGCAAGTGCTTCGGCGTTGAATTTGACGATTTTCCATAGTCGATCGGCAGGTAGGTCGCAAAATGGGAGGCTGATCTGAACCTTTCCAGCACCAGCCAGAAACCAATACGCGGAAACTCATCGTCAACCTCTAGACCGCCTTCTGCAATGCGCGAGATCCGACCAATGGTGAAGAGCCTCCCTGTCCGCTTGAAATCCTTCCTCAAAGCCTCATGCAGCTTTGGGAGCCCTCCTCCCAATGGGTCTACTTAGTGCGTATCCAGTGACCTTGCATCCTGCCCGACGTTAAGGTTCATTACCTTATTGACGGGCTGTTTCATAAAGAAAATATACCTGTACGTCCGCCGAAGTGCGTGTGTTTCTGCAAACAGGTTGATTGACGACCCAGATGGAATCGCTACGGTCTCCATACCAGGGCACTTCTGAACAATCTGCTTGATAACAGTCGCCTTCACCCTCTCCACTTCAACCCGACAAGCCCGCTCATCCGCAGAATCAACGAGTTCCAAGCGCGGGAAGAGTTGGGGAAGAGCACCAGAAACTCTAAGAAACTCCGCAAACACAGCTGGCATATCCCGGAAGATTGATTTAACCAGTAGTTCCAGTGGATGCCGAGGTTCTTGACGTGCAGACGAGTGACGATGCTCAATGTGCGACCTTGAGAAACGTGTGCCTCCATCCACTGTACAGCGAGGATGAACAGAGCGTCGTCGAAGAAGTTGTAGTCGAAGAGAGTTACGGGATAGAAACCGTCACCTTGGTCAGATTTCGGCAGGCGTTTGTGGGGCCCAAAATCCACGCTATAAACATCGAGTGGGCTTTGATCTCAACCAAGTATCGCTTTCTGAAGTCGCTTAGTCGGCCTTTCAAGGATGCGTACAGGTCGAAAACCATGATTGAGGGATGCCGCACAAGGAAAGCTGCAATTGTCGCGAATTCTAGACCTATAGGCCATGGGTGCAGCTTGAGATCCGAAAGGTATTCGAGCTTGGAGAGGTTTGGAAAAACAGTCAGAGTGGCGAGTGAAAGATGTTTATTGATCGTAAACAACAGCGGCCAAACAAGAGGTTTGAGCGCCTCAGCAACACTCTCCCGCTTCTCAAGGGGCCTCATAAAAAATGGCAAACATAATGAGAAATATGCCTTACGGTGAGAGCCATCATTACATTATGCCAGCAAATCCACAAGGTGCAACTTATAGTTCGACTTGGTTCCTCGGGTTTGAAGGTGTCGAAACTCATCCTTGGATGCATGTCATACGGATCACCCGAGTGGCAAGGTTGGGTCCTTCCAGAGGAGGAGTCAATCAAGCACATAAAGGCCGCGTAATTCCTTGGGTATCCGCTTCTCGTAGCAAGACTTGAATATTTTCCAGATATGATGCTGGGATCAACACTTTTGACACGGCGAACGTATGATGCTTTTTATGTCATCTTAGAACCGAGCTGGAATTTCTGCAGGTGTATTCAAATGGGCAATCAGAAATAGTTTTGGGGAAGGCGATCAAGCAACTCAAGCTTCCCAGAGACGAGATTGTGGTTATGACGAAGGTAGATACAAACATTCTATACTTGTCCTTTACTTTATCCAGTTCAACAGGTTTTCTATACCGTTGGAAAGACTGTCAACACCCCTTACTTGGTCGGTGATGAGCTAGAGAGGCAGGGCTACGTTAATCAGCATGGGCTAAGCCGCAAGGTTCGTCACAATAACTGAGTTTCCGCCCACCTGCTTATCGCCTTACATATCAGCATGTCTTCGAATCTATTAAGCGCAGTCTAGAGCGTCTCCAACTGGATTATGTTGACGTCCTTCAATGTGTGTTTCGAATTTTCCTTCTACTTAACATAGAATTGACGGGCTTCTCAGGCCATCGGTTCGATGCCGACACCCCGATCGCTGAAACAGTAGGCGGAATATAATTGTCAATTAAGATTGCGCTCAATTATTCATAGATGCAAGCTCTTCACGATGTTGTTCAGGCTGGATATGTTCGCTACATTGGGATGTCGTCGTGTTGGGCCTGGCAATGTGCGTCTTGTGCTTGTCTTGGTAACGAATTCGACAAATTTACACTTCGACCATCCTTAAGTCCATGCCATGCAAAGTACGTTGCTCTCGCCTGACCATAGAACTTGGGTTCACCTGGCTGCGTTTCAGACTACGCTATTAACAACAAATTGACCCCGTTTATCTCCATGCAAAACCACTACAATCTGCTTTATCGAGAGGAAGAGCGAGAGATGTTTCCGACTCTCAAGGTAAGATCAGATACGACTGCCTTTGAGACGCGAAATCTGATTTGGGAAAACGAAATTAAAAGCACCTTGAGGTTGGTTCAATCCCCTGGTCGCCACTTGCCCGTGGGGTTCTTACTCGGCCACTCTGGAAGGAGACAACTCGCAGCAGTATCGACGGGTGGGACTCGTTTCATACTTTTTGAAGGAAAAATTCTTCCTAACGAAGTGTATTTAGATGGGTCAAGGGATATACCAATGAAGGGGTTGCTAGTATCGTTGAGCGGTAAGCCTGGTTCCTGACAAACAAATATTTCAAGGAGTCGATGGCAATGGCTGTAATAGTGTCGAGAAAATCGCCAAAGCACGTGAGGTAACAATGGCCCAAGTGGCGCTGGCTTGGGTTATGAACCGCGAAGGTGTGGCTCTTTGCTGTACGATGCCGCCCTGACTAAGGTATCTTTTTCATGACAGGTGTGACAGCCCCAATTGTCGGGACAAGCTCTCTAGAAAATCTGCATGATTTGTTGGGTGCGACTCGACACTGAATGAACTTGATTTTTTGTGTTGACAGTGTTGAGATTTTAGGTGCTGTCAACCTCAAGCTCACAGAAGAGGAGATGAAGGAACTCCAAGATCCTTATCGGCCGCAAGGTGTATTTGGCCACACTTAGGATTGACCCTGCTTGTCAAAGAAGAAACCAAGAGAAGAAGTCACCTTTTGAATGTACATATATACCTCCCTGCTTTGAACATCTGGATAGATATACTTATTTCGGATTTCCACGATGTCACCTCACTATTTTTTGAGATCCTGCACCGTTCTTCTACGCTGGCCTCTAGCTTATTGTTCCGTTCCTCGCCTTTGACCAAACACTCAAATCTAGGAAGACTCCCTCAGATCGAACAAACCTAACAGTGGGGTTACAGGTTCCTCCAGAGGAGAGAAGATAGTTTGCCAGCTTAGGTGACCGGGAAAAAACAGTTCTTCGCAACCCCAGCATTCTCGAGCTCTATGCAAATGCTATATTCGGCATGGATCCACTCCCTCTTAATACTCATCACCCAAGATTTCCCTTAAACGCCAGTTTATGGTGAACAGTGATATCTCACTATCTTGCCAATTTTTGCCTCGACGTTGAGCGTACCGATGCCAGTGGTTTTGACACAGCGCTTGTAGCCGCCGTGCGTCGTGGTCCTTTGGTCCCTTTAAACGCTCTCGCCAAATAACTGTGGAGCCTGTCGATATATTCTTACGCGTTCCTTTCCTCCTTGCCTCCTAAAGACCAAGTATACCTGATGATTTCCCGCTTTCCCAGGCCATTGGCGCGCGCTGAGCCAAGACGCCCACTCATGATCTCGTAATTTGGCCGCAGGGTGCCCAATTTGTTTCTTCTCAAGCGTTGCAACACATTTTCCCAGGTATGAAAGAATTTGACGCCCTACCTTCCTTTAACCTGACGCTTTCTCTTCTGCGATGGCTCAGGAGCCCCCCTCCAAGGCACACCTTCCTTTCCCAATCCCAAACTTTGGCAATGCGTTCGTAGAACTTTCGGCGCTTACGACTTTCATCGGTTCATCGGTCGCTGAGTCGCTCATCCTTGGGAATGAGGGTGGGGCGGGAGTTGCGTGGGCTGCGATGAGCGCCTTTGGTCTCATGGACATAGTGAAAACATGCGTGGGCGCAGCAAGCCCGGGATGGCTGAGGACCGTTATTGGTGCAAGATCAGAAAATACAGATGTAGCTGTAGGACTGGAGGTGTCCTCTAGCCAGCGCGGGAGGGGAGCGCTGAAGGTCAGAAGGAGCTACGGAGAGAAGGGGCCAAGTGGTCTCTCGGTTGACGCATCGGTGTTTTTGGAATCAGTAATTGCTTTCACTGATCTCTGCAACTCGCACATTCTGATGACAGAGCCTCGATATAGCGGGGCAAACTAACAGATTTGGAACATAAAATCAGGTGGGAAGAGATCTACGCCTTCGATAAGTTAACATCTCGTGGATTGGCGGGGCTCCCGGATGACAAGCCGCAAAACCCTGTCGCTCCCGACAAGACTACACTTCGTGATTCTCAAGCTCATACGGCTCGTAGGAACATCGAGAAACCGTCAGAGCACATCGACATGACGCCTGATGTATATTCGTACAGCGTCAATCCTTTCTATCCTCCCCACGATCCATGGTTTCAAATTCCTATCCTCCTTCTCAGTCTTGCCAAAGTTGGAGAGGGTTTAGTTTTATGGCGGCTCGGTGGTACTATCGGCATTATTACACTCATCCCTTGGGCATACTTCTTTCTCGTAGCTTGCATAATTGAAGCTCGCGAGGTGATTGTGGCTAGGGGGCCCCCTGTCCTGGATGGAGAAATTGACATCATCGTTGGGCAATTCCCCAACATGACGCAAATCGCAGAATCACCTCCACGAACTCGGGTTATCATTGGTGCCCCTCGAAACCCAAGGAAAACAATATGGTGGAAAGCTGCATGGGCTTTAGGCGCCTTAATATGCCCACTCGTAACCGGATTCACTTACCTGTCCCTGGCTCAACAAACAAACGAAATTGTTATGCTTTGGCTTATGTTCCAAGCTCTGTGGTTGGTTGGTCGCATGTTAGTTCACCACTACGCTGAATCTCCCAGAGAAGCGATGGCACCCCGTTTGCTATACAAGAGGTCCTGGGAGACTTTACCAGGTATCTTCAGAAACCGTGTAGTAAACTTGCTGGTGGCTGTCTCGAGATACATGATATCAGTGCATCCGCGACGGGAAAATGCATACCGGGACAACGTCAGCTCGGCCTTGGAATTACGAAAGGTTATAGTTGAAACACCAACTATATTGAACTACCCGCTCTCCCACCCGAACGATCTTCTGCAACCATACCATAAGCTACAAGTTGATATTGAAATCCACGCGGTTATTGGTGACCCTACCCTCGTCAGTGCAGTTTGGCTCGCCAATGTCCCAGGCCTCACTTTTGAGGATATGTATGATACATGTATTCTCTGCTTGAAGCTTCCCCCCTCCGGAACCACATGCCGATACGCCACAATACCAAGTGTCCGTTTTTTCAGTGGCGTCTCGGTATCAGAACCCTCTGCCTTTGATGAAGAAACCAATCAGCCTCTTGACACTACACCTCAATTCCTTCCGAAAGGTCAGCTTCGTGATACCCCAAGTACGTGGTGGTGTCTGATCCCGGCGGGGGAACGAAGATGGCTGATAGTCAAGCATGCAGTCGAAAGTCCAGTTCTTGGCAAACATTCAGCCGAACTTGTGTCTGACGATCGTGTCACTGCCATTTTGTCTAGGGGCCATCTTTTAGTCAGTATCGCTCATGTCAATGATCTCAAGTTTGCTTTGGGTAATTCACGGAAAGCGAGGGAGACGCTGACCGAAATTTTCTCTTGATGATGATGATTTATGCTGTCCTTCTCAGACTGGTGCACGATGTGTAGTTCTAGCATTGAATCTACTATTTTTTTGTCGTTCTTACTTATATTTGCCGTCTTCGTCGCAGCCGCCTTTTCCTCCTCAGCGAATGCTCCTTCATGGACTTTATAATAGTGGAATCTCGCCGTAATCCACCTATTATTCGGTCTGAAGATGGAAGATAGAAGACCATAGCTGAGATCGTTGGAATTTTGGCGCCCCCTTGCAGCAAACTAATCAAAAACTAATCGTCTCGGATGAATACCAGGAGTTACAGGACGATGTTGGGACGATGTATTCTAAATAGCTGGGGAAGTGACGGACGTGTCTAGGTACTTTGCTCCTCCTTGTTAGTATGCCAGTGGGTTGGACTAGCTGCGTGCCCTCTCCTGCCTCATACTGTGCTCGCCAATGATGCCCCAGCAAAATACTTCAAAATCCTATTTGCCAGCTAATTAGGAGTTGGTGGATCATAACGCGACATACGCATAACTGAAACTCTCGTATTCAAGGCCAGGCTCATCGAGATCACTAGCACTTAATCACTATCCTGCGGCAAGATTTGTCCTTGAAAAACGATCTGAGGTCAGCAAATCCCATTTTCTAGGCCGAATTCGGCGTCGAGATGAGCAACTAACGTTGGATCATGGAAATGCGATGATATGGCTACCGGTTACATACATGTGTGAGCCTACAGGATGATAGCAGAAGACAGCTGATAAGTTAGGTATGTACAACGAATGCCCACATCCTCAAAGCGGAAGGGTCAGCCAACGTTCCGACTTCGCCTTGACTTGTTAATCGTTCCAGTGCGTTCAAGTGCGGTTTTCAGGCTCTTGATAGTCTGCACAATCTCAGCTGTTACGGAAAATGGACCAATGAGATGATATTCCCTATAACAAACAAAAAAAGAAAACTCACCCGCGAGCTTTGGGCTCTCAGCTTCAAAGTCGTATCTCTTATTCGTCGACCCACGAGTGATGATAAGCTTGAATATAGATGACGTCTTCGCTGATTGCTGAACGTCGGCGATGCTCTTGATATGGTAGGAAGCTGTTTTCGCGCTATCGAAGACGGCTTTGGCTTTATTGGTGGGCATGATCTAGTATTCATCGCGAAAGTCAGCACAAACGTCACATGTAAAGAATTTAAAAAGTGAACGAACATGGATGTACACGCCATCAATAGCGAGGTTACGCTCCTGTCTAGTCACCAGCATAGGCATCTTGCGGAAAATGGTATATTTCTTTATGTTTGGCTGATTAGAACTGAAACAGACCAATAAAAGTGCACAAGGATCACCTTATAAGCCGCCGTGTAATCCAACGCAGAAGAATATTGCTGCTCTGGCGTATCTGACATTCGTTTGAAGATGGAAGCTAGAAGCAGAGTTTGAGATAGCTGATAGAAAAATTGGTATTGACTTACCGTTTGGATCTGTGGTTCTTCCAATCCCTTTAACGATGTCAGCTCCCATCTGCGGCAGCATACTTCGCTTGACGAGCAACAGCTCTCGCTTGCCCTGCAAACTAGCAACGGTGCGGTCCAATGGTATGAGTATGCTCATGTCGGCCAGGAGTAGAGCATAGTCGTTCGGATTCTGGAGTTTTCTTTTGCGACAAACGATCTCCAGGGCCTCTTGCATGTACATACCAGCAGTACTAACCGAGCAGGGAGTAAATATGAATTACGTTCGCACGAAAGCAAGAAACATACACTGGTATTGTCGTTGATATATGAACAGCATCTGCAGCGTCGGCAACGCGTATGCGGAGGAAGATCTGTGGACCGTGGCTAGAGGAGGGTCCAAGAGAGGTAGACAGAGGCACGGAACCAAGAGTCAAACCAAAAACGGCACTTCCTGGAGCAATGCTAGGTAAACTAGGGCCAGGAACTGAAAGCTTGTCCGGCTTCTTGGAAGTCGTCCTGGATGGTCTTCTTTGAATTTTGCTTTCGATCAGTTCATTTTGTTGGACTATCAAAAGTAATATTGAATGGGTGTGATGCGAATCGACCTGTTGTGGTATACGCACTCTGGGTAGGGTTGGCTTCCAATACTGCACATGCATCCGCATTGAACTTGGCTATTTTTCCAAGGCGATCAGGAGCTATGTCGTAAAATGAGAGGTTAGAATGAACCCATCCCGTGTCTTCCATGGAACACACGTACGTGGGAAGTCATCGTCAACCTCCCCATCGTCCTCTGTAATGCGCAAGATCCAACCGACGGCGGAGAGCCTCGCTTTCCGTTTAGGGTCCTCCTCGTCTTCACTCAGGCCTTCATCCAACTTCGGGAGCCAACCTTCCTCCCAATAAGTATAACAAGCGTACCCAATGACCTCCTCTACCGTTGCGTCCCGCCGAACGTTCAAATCCATCGCCTTGTTGGCAGGCTGTTTCGCGTGAGGGAAATACACCTGCACGTTCGTCGAAGTGGGTTCTCCCCTTCCAGATATGGCTGCATACATCTCCGCGAACGCATTGGTTGACGATCCGGACGAGGCCAGCATGGACGAGAGGGCAGATTTGAGCGGTTTAATCGGTGTGACTTTTTTTCGCGTGAACACAAGCTCTTGGCCCGCTGTCGACGAGATTGAAGAGGACGAGACGTGGCTAACGTGATCAGGACGGTGCCGAGGGGCATTCGAATCCTGCCTGCGAGAAGAGTCATCGCCCGACTTTGCGCCTGGCCCAGGAGTGAGAATTTCAAATGAAGACCCAACGGGATGGTCGGTTGATCGTCGATGATGACTTCGGTTGTGGCGTGCATTTTCTGATACAGGGCTCAGACGAGGACGTCCCCTGTTGTTGTGGGATGATGATACGGCAGACGAGGTGGGCATCGAACTCGTTCCAGCGGAGAAGATGGACGAGGCGCTATCAGAAGTGGTGTCCATACGCGTAGATGCGAAGACACTGTAGAATGGTCATATGATAACACTGAGCTCGAGTAAAAAGTAACTCACGGATCGAACTCATCTTCTTCATCCATGCTGTCAACTCCAGGAGAAACGACATCGTATTCATCATCTGACATGTCGCTGGCAACATGTATCTCCACCTCATCTTCCGAAGAGGAGTCAAAAGTTGGTTTGGGTTGGTCTTGAGGCAACGCTCCACCAGGGCCCCGCCGAGCTGCCATGCGCACGCGACGCCTTGCCTCCATTTCTGCGGCGCCCTTGAACTTGGGTATAAATTGAACGACCTTCGCAACAGGTACTTCCTCTGGTGCAGTTGCTTGTTGTATCTCCACCTTTGGTTCCGTAAACTCTTCAGGAGCTTGTACCTTTTTCTCTTCGTCGACCTCTACCCATTTCTCGCTTGGGACGCTGGCCGGTTTCGACACATCAGTGGTAACAGGGGCAGATGCACTTAGTACTTCGTCCACGGGAGCGTTTTCGGACAAGAAGTTCTTAACTTCTGGCTGACGAGGCGTACCCGACATGCGTTTTGAAGTTGAGGCCCTCTTCCCATTGAGGCGCATCCCCAGTCCCCCTGATCTTCCACCCATGATAGTCTGGGTATACTTCAGCCGCGCCCCCGGGAAGCCTAATGGGCGTTCTTGCTCATCCTCACTCAAGTGAGGACTTGATGGCAAGGACAATTGTGGCCACCTCTCGGAATCAGCAAGTCCGGCAGCAACGATGTAAGGATTCGTTTGAAAGGATGGATCCAACGAGATGACACGTGGGCCATATGGGTCCTCAACCTCTCGAAGGTATGATAGACGAAGGCTATGGATAAGAAAGCTGGTGGAAAGGTGTCAGGAGGCTATCTCAACGGTCGTCTGACGGAAAACATACTCAGTATCACTGATTAATGACATGTCGTATTCTCATAAACCATCACCAGAATATGTCAATGAGCAAAAGCTTAGAGTCCCTTTAGCTGAGGGGGGTAGGTGGTGTGCGCAGCGTCGGGGCTATGGTCAATGGCTGCCTCAGTAAGGGTGTGAGCGGCCATACCAGGCATAATGTCCATCTGTGTTGACAAAGATTGTCCCAGCCAAACAACGGATCCATTTCTCTCCATGACCTCAAACTCTTCAAAACATCTCGTTTGTTACATAGTCTCTCAGGGATTAGCAAAGGTGTGCGTAATTTGGTCTAATTTCATAGGCTCATATCTGAAGGAGAGCTTAGACGTCGTCCCTTTTGCCATCGAATAAGAAACGATCAATAATCGTCCATTCTCTGATTAGCTCGTTGGGCATCCTAAATCCACACTTCTCGGACACACACCGCATACAAGTCGTCAATCCAAGAAAAGCAACATATAAAGAACTAGCAGTATACCATAGCAATGACTATTTGGACTTTGTCCTCGACTCTAAGAATTATGTTTCCTCCGCTGGGGACGCGCCGATGGACGCGTCTTTGAACGCGAATTTCGGTTTGGAAGACGCAAGTCTGATGGGTGACGCGTTTCCATACTTGGTGCTTATTTTTTTTCCCTCAGGACTGTCCTCCATTTCAAGGACTCCCAGACTACATTCAACTCGTCGCTGGAGCAGTGCTAACCGCTGCAGAAGTCCTTCGTCAATCCAAGGCTGAAATCGCCATATGCTGGGACGGTGGCAGGTTATTAACCACTTTCAAACTTGTCCCAATCTTCTTTGATGTCGGCACGCTTTAGACACCATGCCCAGAAATCCCATGCATCAGGATTCTGCTACGTTGCAGACTGCATCCTCGCCATTCTGGCACTCAAGCGTCGGCTTCCAAGTGCGTATATTCCCAACATGATTCCCACCCAGAAGCCACGCGTTATGTATCTCGATTTGGACCTACATTACTCGGACGCCGTCTCCGATGCATTTTTCTCTTCGGTTACACCTCAAGTCTTGGTAAGGATGCTGACACTCTTTACTACGCAAAAGTATTGATATTTCTGAACAGACTCTGAGCATTCATCACTCAGCCCCAGGATTCTTCCCCGTCTCTGCTCGCAGCCAACTTCCTTCCGTCTCCTCGCCCGACTTTGACCCGTTCACACTGTCAATTCCCCTACTCAAAGGCGCGTCAAACAGTACCTACGCACGAATATGGCCAATCGTCGAGCGCGTCAAGGATACTTTCGCACCAGATTTCATCGTAATCCAATGCGGCGTCGACGCCCTGGCCGAAGATCCATGCGCGACGTTTAATTGGTCCTTGGGTGGGGCAGCAGGGTCTCTAGGCTGGTATATCAATAAGATATTAGAATGGCAAGGAAGTAAGCTGCTGCTTGGAGGTGGTAAGTTCTTCATAATTCCTCGACTGCGTCCCCTATTTATATCTAGTTGAGGTGGGTATAATTCCCCAAACGCCGCTCGTGCTTGGGCATACTTGACGTCGCTTTGTGTGAGTGTCTCACACTCATATTTGGGCACAAAGTTGAAGATACAACGTAGCTACAAAGGCCTCTTAGCCTCGACACAGAGATCCCTGATCATAGTGGATTTCCCTTATATGCACCCTCGTTCACAGTACGTAATCGATTCAAACATTTTGCTCTAGGATTTGATTAATGACTAGCTGGACGTTCCACGGGGAAACATGCACGATCACAATACAGATGACCATCTGAGCTCAGTAGAGGCAGTCTTTCAAGACGTCATTCCTATCATTCAGGCTCGTCTCGAGAGATGATGCCTTCTTCTGTTTCCAAGCAAATTGATTCGGGTGAATGGCCAAATTTAAGGATTGGCGACTATCGTCCGCCAATTTATAGGGAGTTCACCAAGTAGCCTAAGTACATGATGATACAACCGACAACAAATTATTTAACCAGCGTCAAGCGCACGATCCATCTGAATTGACCATTCCACAGGCTTGGTAACTAGCGTCTCGCCCGGAGCCACTAAAATGCTTGATTTTACATTGACATGGGCCAAGGTCAGAACAATTGGCGCCATCCTCGCATCTATTCAAAATTAAAATTGGTGAGTCGTTCGTGCTTTTAGCTCTTCAGGTAACTTTCTCCACTCACACGCAACGAGAAGCTTTGGCGCAGTGGATACTGTTGTAGCCACTGGGGCAGTTGTTGCCGCATTGGTTTTCCCCCAGGTTTCCTCCACAACGAATTTTGATGTCGGCACCGTTGGAGTTATTGTTCTTCCAGCAAGCTGCACATCCGGAGCTGCACTGCAACGCCACTGCGGTCTGGATGAAGGCAGATGCCAAAAACATGCTGAGTGCCATGGAGAATTTCATTGCGATACTGACTACAAAAAAAAAATCAGCTTGAGTTGACCGCTGAGAAGATTTAGAGAGGGCACTTACTGAAGCTTTGTCGAGAGAGAAAGTTTGAATGATTATTCTGCAGACATTTGAGGCCTTATATACGTCGACATACCCGACGTGAAGGCGACACATCGGAACGTGGGCAAGGCTGTCGTTGCCTCCAGCTTGAACAGGTGATGTAGGAGGTTTAGAGAACGGCCGCCCGGTTCGGATAAACTCGTATGTGCACTTGACAAATAATGAGCAAGTGCGAACGTGTTCTGCGATTCTCGAATCGACACTTGGTCCAGGGCTCACATAAACGGATCCGATGCGCTTCTACGATGGTCGATACTCGATTCTTTCTCCACTTTTCGGTCGTTTTGTCCATCCCTGTCCTATGAATAGTGTTTTTTCATTGATCCATCTTGCTCCTCTGCTGTCTCAAAGTCTCCACTTTCTTTCTCTCCGCGTACCTTTCTTTCTTTTCATCTTTCACGCCTCGAATTCGTGCGACGTACCACTCATTTATTTACAGTCTGCACCTAAAAATAGCCATCTGACGATTGATGATTTATTTATAGCGAGCACGCCAAATAATAACCACCTTGATCATCTCACAAAGATTCCAACTTCCCGTTTGTCTCTGCTTCTAAACGTTCCACATCTTTACTCCGGTACACATTTTCAGTTGCTCAGTGAAAATACCTGTTGATGTCTTATGACCCTAGATGCGCGATTGAAACGTCCATTTCGGACTCGCAGGTCGAAATCTTCTCCGGAGTTCCTCCATTTCATTTCCTTCTCAATAATTTTCGCGATTTGAGGTGCACCTGCACACCTGACGGATTCGGATGGAAAATCTGAGGACGCCGACGCGCTGCGGGAAAATGTGGCTGGTCATTCGCTTCCAGAAGATCTTTTCACTTACAATTTTACAATTGGGGTAGCAAATAATTCACATGAAGGGTTTGAGACTGCAGACAGGTGGTTAGGGTGAATAGTCGACTTCGACTCGGAGGAAAGTATGCGAGCGGCGAAGCTCAGCTGGGTAAGCAGATTCACTGAGCTTTAGTATTCAATTTAAGCGCTTTGTAGGTGGCACTTCTGATCGCTGCAGATAGATACTTTATCATCTTGCTAAACTTAACGAACGCGTTCTGAGGACTGGTAAGATAGAGTCTTTTGGGAGATCAACGTTGACGGCTGAACGTTGAACGTTGAACGTTGAACGCAGAGCGTTGAAACGCTGGTAAAGCTTCTGCAGCAATTTTGACTTCACAGTGGACAAAGGATTTGTAGGTGCAGCAAGCTGTCTTTCCACGAGTGCTGACTCGACTCAAACTCACTACAACGCTCGAAGGTGTGTTCCACAAAAACACTACTAAGACCCCACTCTGGTCCGCAACGCTAACCGAAACAGATCCGGAGACGGTATAACAGCTCATCTGGCGTTCTCAGTAAAGGCAGGCTCACTTATCGATTATGACTTCGATGTGGGTTGCGCGCCAATTGCGGTGCAAAGACCACGATGAATCGCATGGTTAGGGATCACTGCGCCTTTCAATTTTCTAACGCGCCGGATACGGGGAAGCAGATTTTGATGAACAACTCCGAGAACAAATCAGCAGGACTCCCCTCAGGAGCTAAGCCGCGTTTTCTCGCACAAAACCCCGGCGTCACTGCAATAAATATCAAGATCGTGCTTGCGCTTGAGCCACATGAGGGATTCATCGAAGTTAGAACTTGATCGCATTCCGAGCCAATCTGTGACGGAATTTAGACCTCTAAAAAAGTCGATCTTGAAGCAGGACTGTAGCAAACGGCGAGATGTCGTAGAAACCTCCAAGAGATGGGGTAGATGATATTATATCTGCATATTAAATCATAATATTAGGAAGTTCCATCGTATACCCAGAGGTCCGGCTGATCTCGAGAATAATCTCTAATCCATTTTCCTTGTCGGACTCGCCACCGCAGGTCTTATTGGTTCGCTCTTAACAAAAGGAGCCCTCGCAGCCTGGTCCTTTCTCACTCTCAAAGCCCACTCATACGCCTTACATAACCACTTCAGGTATCCAATGTCCTTGTACATTCCAAGCGCCACCAGCCGATGGTGCACGATCTCAACGTCCGCAAATGTCAAGAACGGGGGGACGTGGTCATCTGGCACCTCTGTTGTCGAGGTCATCCGAACGAGGGGACGAGAACCGTCAAGCAATGTACGCGTAGATCTTAGGTCGGGTTTTACGGAGGGTGTCCGTAGAGCTTGGGGGTCGTACCGGGCAGCGAAGGCTCTGATCTGATCCATTGCTCGATTGACCTGTCGGTTTCTTTTAATAATAAAAATTAGAACCATACTCTTCCGAAAGAAAGCAAAAAAAAAAAACATACAGCACCAGCACACGAGTCATCGCCACATGCGCTCTTTCAATCATTCTCGCATTCAGCGGCCTTCCATCATGCTTCCCAGACGCCTCGATGGCCTTCCAACTCTCCCAAAGCTCTTCTGCAAATGTGAGCGCAACGACCCTCTCATCCCCTTTCTTAGCATTCCCACACCTCTCCAGAGCCTCAAGGTAAGCCCGTGTACTCCGATCTACCCCCAATTCTTCGTATATTTTCCAGAAAAGATCTTGAGATGTGCTCAATGAAGCATGCTTGTAAAAAACGGCCAGGTACGAATTGACCAGTCGGGGCGTTAACTGGACGTCTTTGAATTTCAGCTGATCAGCATTAGGTTCATCTGCTGAACCACGTTCTTCGCAAATGCGCTGGAATAAGGATTTGACCTCTTGCAGAACCTCTGCATGGCTCTGAGGCGGGAGATGTGCGAATGACGGTGCTTCGTCTTGATTTTCCATCATTATTTCTTGGAATACCTTCTCGGCAGGCTTCTCTTCCGTGGCCTTTTCCTCCACAACGCCCTTGCTCTCAACGCCTTCCTTGACCCCCTCACTCGTATCCTCCTGAACCAACCGAGTCTTCGCGCGTTGAAACGGCGGTCGATATGCCGCATACGTCTGAAACAGATGCATCATAACCTCCTCATCCACCCCAGCGTCCACCGGCGCATTAACATCTTCCGCCTCCCGTCCCCTCACCATCTCCGCCAATATCCACCTCGCCCTCCCCAAATCCCCAATCCTCTTCGCGCCCTCCAACAACGCACAAAACGTCTTCCGATCAGGTCTATACGCCGACTTTCCCTCCGCATCCCGATGCGAATCCAGCATCTGCCTCGCGAGTCGAAACGCCTCATTCACGTACATCTCCGTTCCTGACCTCGCACACGCCAGGATGACGGCGTTATACGCTCCAACCGTCGGTATTATCCTATGGTCCACCGTCATTTCCGTCCAAAAGTCCAGTGCTTTCTCCAGCTCGGAGGAGAGGGCGGATGATATTGGGGAGGCACAGGCGCGGATCATGAGTGTGTATAAGAGGGCGTCTGGGTTGGGATGGGCAACGTAGCGCATGTGGGAAAAGAGATCCCATGCTTGGGCTCGTGCGATGGATGAGGGGCGAGAGAAAAGGGAGGTGATGACGGCGGTATATGTTTGCATTGGCGCTGCCTGGGCTCGAGCTTCGTAGCTGTGTAGGGTATCTAGCGCGGATGTGGGTAGTTCTTCGAGGGGTGTTGCTTTTAGGTGGGCTTGGATGTGGAGGTGTTTTTGGGTGTCCGTGGGTGCGGCGGTTAGGTATCGATTAAGTAGTCTATCAGCTCCTGTTGTGTCCCCTACATCAGAGTATAGCTCTAGGACGTCGCTGATTGCAGTCTCTGGTAGGGGAAGACCCATTCGCTGTTTAAGTTCACAATAAGTACAGGCATACGCCCGAATGATGACTACATACCATCATGAGTCCCATAGCCAGCTCAGCCCCTTCACCGTCCCTCGCTTCAACCTAACCAACCATAAGCTCTTCGAAAATTACAATCATCATGCAGCACTCACCGACACCCCAATAAGCGCCTCACATTCCCTCATAGTCAACAACCCCATCGGGATAGAACTCGACTGACGATTCGAAGGCCCAGCCTCTGCCTCCGCAGCGTGCATACGGACTGCCTCAACACGCGCCACGACAGCATATACGCGGCTTAACACACGCCGATAGGTATCCTCTTGTGGAACACTAGACTCATCCAAAGCCACAGCGCTGGCATCCACCAAAAACCGCTGATCCAAATCTTCGACGATGCCTTTATCCTCTTCGACTCTCGCGAGCCTCAAAGCCTCAGGGTCAACGAGTTGTTCTGGTTGTTCTTCGACTTCGAGCGTGTGGGCAAGAACGTCCTTATAAAACGCCGCCAGGTCCTCTTCAGAATAAAACGGTTCTTCTAGCGACGTTTCCTGTATCAAATTATGAGTAAGAAAAAAAAAAACATGTAGTGTGGAACCCAAAACCACTCACCTCAGCCTTTGAAAAACTTTCCAAAGCCAGAACGCGTCGATTCAGCTCGACAAGCGCGGAACTCGAAGGTCCTGCTCTTCCCCTTCCGCTCGGTCTCACAGTAAGACTGCCTTTCCTTCTGCTCCTAACAAGAAAGATTATTAGCCGAAAAAAAGTAAAAATGAGCGTAAAAACTAACCTCCCTTGAGTCTGACTCTCTACACTCCGAAAAATGGGATTGGTGGGAGGAGGAGGGTCCAATGCGGCAAGTTGCATGCAGCGTACCCTTTGCTTGGTAAAACATAGCGTGCTCGTTGTACGGGGTAGGACATTTGTCGAGATTCCACAGCGGCTCATGGGCGATATTGCTGAGCAAGTCAGATACAGCGTTTGACCAGCGCGGGTGAGCAACGAACTCCCAGATGGTGTTTATCTGGACTCTCAGCAGCTTGCTTGCTGACAAAGACGCTGTTTTTTTAGCCCAGAGCACAGCCACGCTCCCATTCAGTTTCAGTGGCCAGGTTCTACAGTACTATGTAAAGTTACAAAGTTGTAATGTAAGTCTAGTGGACGTAACTAAACATTTAGCGAAGAAAGTCCGTGGAAGTCAGACGTGGGGTCGGAAGGGTCCGAGTAAAGAACATTATAAGACGAGAGATATCGATATCACCAACAAAGGGTCACTGACAAACACGAGTAAGTGAGAGATGGTCCAATAATAATGAGTGTATGTCCGTGGAGGAGTAAAGAGTGTCAATACGAAAAGATCATTGGCCAGGGGTTGAGAACAATCTATGACCAGACCAATTAGAGGCTTCGCTGAGAACGCGACATCAAGTGGGACTTACAGGAAACAGAACATGCCCTCCAGCAACGATTCTTTAAAGAATGTTTAGTAGTTGAACCTATGAGGTTTGAGGATGATCCCCGGCAAAATCACGGCCCAGTCTACTCCGGGAATTCGCCAGCCAGGAGGGACCAGGGAAGTCGAAAGGATGATCATCCTAACGATAATGGCAAAACCCAGTCCAAGGGCTAGCCAAAAACGTTTGACGATTCTGGGAACCTCAATCCAAAAGTTCGACCTTTCCACCTCCTAGTTAACAAAAAGGTAAGTTTTACATACTGAGATCAACTTATCGCAAACCTTTTTGGTAGCACCCCAGGTGATGTTGTAAGAGAAGACGTGGGCAAGGACGGCGGTCGATAGGTGGATGCTCAAGCCTCCGAAGAAAAACATGCTGGCCAGGTTGTTAATACGAAGAAGTCATTGTTTGGAAGTGAACGTACAAGAAGGGAATCCATGTGATATTCTCGATGAAGGAGGAGAAAATGACCCGCTGGCCAAGACGGTATTCCAGCAACGTGAAACCGAGGTTTCCAGCCCCAGGGAAGACGACTGTGCATGCGAGCCAGATTTCAAAGCTATGCAAGTAGAAGCCGTCGACCTCATACGCAAAGCCCAAAAGGAGGTAGTTGAATACGGAAAGGACAGCGGAAGCGGCAATGCCGTAGTAAGAGAACATGTAGGACATCATGCTGATTTTGTAATGGACAGGTGCGTTCGACCACAAGAAGGTGCGCAGTTGTTTTGTGATAGGTCCCAGTCTCCACCAGTCAATGAGCGGATTGAAGATGAGTTCATTGCAACCTAAAAGGCGGTGAGATGCGGGGGACGTCACTAGAACAACAAACAAACCATATGAATACTTTTGCCATCGATTAAGTTCATCATCCACGGTGAGTGATACACCTTCTTTAAAACCGCCTTCAGAGTAGGCGGCCCATCGGATAATATATCCTTTCAACTAAAACGGTGATCAAGTCAACAGAGTGGCGCACAATGAGAGAAATGCGTACCTGGAGGCGCAAAGCCATATCAAAGTCCTCGGATACATTGGATTCAGACCAGATTTTCTCAGCGCCGTCTGTGTCAACGAACGCAGCGTCCTGCAAAGCAGACCACCGAAGGAAAGCATTGTGTCCAACGAACGGCGCTACTTCTCCGTTCGCACATCCCATCGAGATACACTTGTTGATCCGGCGTGTAAAATGGGCAATGCCATTCTCGAAATAGTGGTGTGCAACTTGCATTACGTCTTCAGGGGTTGAAATTATAAGGGGTCATTAGTCGGGAGACGTAGGGTCACCCACCGGATTCATGTTGGATGATGCCCACTTCAGGGCATTCAGCCAACTCGCGAGCGGCATCCCTGAAGCAATCCTAGTGATAGTAATGAGCCTCCTCTATCTGATCTTAAAGAGGAGCACGGTACCTCTGGAACGGTTGTATCAGAGTCCACAATTAATATGATGTCACCAATTTGGAGTGATCTAGCATTGCTGGCCCACGGTTTCCACTTCTGGCCATTCGCTTGATAAATCTCTTCGATGGCAATATCCAGCGCCCTCTCCTCCAACGACTTCTCACCGTCAACTTCGTCGGTACTTTCATCTGCGGCCTCTGAAGCAAGGATGTGCTTCTCCACGGATAAGGATAGCTGTGTGATCGTTGATAAACTTTTTAATTCAAGGCTAAGGAAAGGCATACCTGGAGGCCATAGTTCATATTAGAAGCCTTCTTGAAGCGGGATAAAACTATTGAGAAACCCCCTTTCCGCGGAAACCCCCCGGGTTTCCGAGGCAATTGGAGAAATCCCTGATTTTTGTCGATTTAAACTTCCGGCCATAATCCGGCCAGGCGGCTTACACAATCTAATTGCATAACTATGTACTAATCACCCTCTCGCGCTCACACTAATTAATATTCTCGTGAGATCGGCGGCGGGCTCAGAAGCGGGGATGAGGTATAGAGTCGGGCGAGATCAGACTGAGCTCAAGAGTGGGGAGAGGGTTGGGAATTCGACAGCCCGGGGAAGTTAAAACAGTTGTCAGTAGCAGCCAATGGAGAACACACTCTTCCTTGACTCTTCCACAAAATTACAGCTGTTTTCGCTATGGGTCAAGTAATTAGGGTGTTACCAGAAGGCAGCATTCTGCTATGCAAAGCCACTATGGTAACGTTTATGCCAGTCCAGGTGGCATCGAAACAACAAATTTCGATACTGACACAAAACTTGCCAACAGTTTAGTGCCCTCGCAAACGAAATCCATCCCAGCCGCCCAACACCCGCCCCAATCTATCCAACCCATTCGAGTCCAGGAGAAGCCCCAAGCCAGCAGACGGCCAAGGTATCGGCTCTATCATGAGATGCAGGCTGCCTTGCACCCGGCTGTTCAAACCCAGGAACAGCTTGAAAACCTTCTTGAAATGCTGTAGACAATTCAGCAAGCAAATAAACGAAACAGAGAACTATGGACTCACTTGTCACCTAGCAAATACGGCCATAACTGAGCATAACAAATCAATCCACAATCCCACTACGCAAAGCCTAAAGGCAGACCAAGAACACAGCGATTGACCTGTGCAAACGAGAGACGTCCTCGAGGTGGTGGGGGAACCAGGGGTAGCAGTGGAGTTGCTGGATTGAATACAAGTAGGCGATGTGGACTGTGTCACCAAACGACACACAATCGCCAGCCGAACTAATCCTCCCCCCACTTGTCGATACCCCTCGAATTAAGTGCCAAGACCATACTGAGATGATCATGGTCATCCATGACCAACACCCTCCCCTCCTCCCGATGTGTGCTCCAGGGGACGATCCGCGATGTGGTATCCTGGGGCGTGCATCCTGCCTACCGGATGAGCGAGGACTAACACATGGGTGAAATTGTCGTCCCCAAGAGAAGCGAGATGTCGGACAACCCAATTGAGTGTATCACGGACATCCTCGAATCGATAAACGATAGCTTGGACGAGACGGTAAGCGGGTATAATGGTAGGGATGCCTCGCAAAGCGAAGGAAACCCCAAGTTTGTTGTGTAAGGTCGGGAGCGGGTGAGGAACAGGCCGTAAAAGAGCACTAGCGTTGGTGCAGTCTAGTTGTGCAGTCTGTATAATCAAGCGGGTAGTTCATGTCAAGCTGTAATATTTTAATGAAAGATTCCTATCAGTGCATTACAACGCACCTTATTGGGCAGTAAGTAAAGGTTTTGCTTATGATCGTCTCTACCGCTGCGCAATTTGCTTCAAGCGCTACGAAAAGTTGTAGGTTAGATGTCGTTTTTAAACACAGCGTAACTGACGAAATCCTAACTGGAATCAACGATCTCTTTCGCGCGTGGTGGGTAGAATCCTAGCAAGATATTTGTGACCAACGTGGTTGCGCAATAGATGGGTGGGCATGGGACAGCAGAACAAAGGGTGTATCATGATGTAGCGACGTTGGCGTGTTTAGTGATATTACTAATACTGATAGCGGCCGCAGCTCATGTGACTTCCGGACCTCGACCGACGAGAAACAGGGTTTCCATAGAAGCAAAGATTTTGAGTGGGGGGTTTCTGCGGAAATGGGGTTTCTCAATAGTTTTATCCCTTGAAGCGTCCAGCACGTTTGTAGCCATCAGGGTCGTTAGAGTGAGGTGGACGAGCGACCCAGCCAATGTTATGATCAGCATAGAAAAAGATACGCTTCTCCTTCTCCTCTTCGCTCATAGATTGCAAACCATCATCGTGGACGAAGATAGCTGATGTGCCCCCCTTGCCTGGCATACGTTTGCATTGCTCTCTTAAGAGAGAAGACGGAAGGTGCGCTGCATAAGGACAGAAAGTATAAGTGAAATGAAACCACGAGGAGAGGAATTCTAAAAGAGAAAAAGGCAGTAAAGATGCTAGAACGGGGAATAGAATGGCCGATGCACGTTCAGCTACTGAAATTGAGAATTAGGTATACAAGTTTGAAGGTGCCGGCAAAATGATGAAGTGACCGGAAAATGAACGGGACCGAACACTCACATCATGATAGTCTCTTCCAAACTTCCTTATACACTGGTAGTTCGACAGTTATGTGGGGAAGTTTTGAATCGACTTCACGATTTGGTTCGGGTTTGACGGCGGAATAGTAGCGAGAGTTTTCGTGATACTGAGCTACTGAGCAACAGGTCCAATACTACACGATGTCAGCTTTACTTCAAGAAGCATGACAAGAACTCACGTACACAAACGACAAATTCGCCACAATTTGTGACGAAAAGAACTGATGACTATTGAGCAAGGCAATGCTGCAGCTTTATTTGCCAGGAAGCTCAACAATGATACGCAAAGGAGAAATAAGGTGGCGGCGAGGAGAGCGAACCGCATGTAGCTATGATCCAATCTAAATTCTTGTAGTAAAATCGACAGACCGCTGGCGATGAAGACTAAGATGTAACGGACATGAGTAATTTCTATGCGGGGAGAACAGGGTACTCACAAATTGAGAGAGCGCATCCTAAACCTCCGTAGACCGGTGCAAAGAGGCGGATAGGTCGGGCCTGCGGACCAGCAGAGCCTTTTTCAGGATCGCTTGGGGTCTTGGCTGAGGATTTTGTTTATGATAATCTCCAACTCCAAAATTTACGTTCAGGCTGTGGCGCCTCGATTTCAGCGGCGGTATTCTCCATCTTGGTTGAGGCTTCCATGACGCCGTCGGATGCAATAGCGGCTTTCTCGTTGAGGTTAACGTCGGAGGCAGTCGCCGAAGGAGCGGAGGAATCAAAGGATGGGCTGGCGACCATGCTGCGCGATTGCCACACCAGCTTCATAAGCTTCTCGTCAAATTCATTGCATAATGGGACAATGTGGTCAAGGTCGTCGGACCACACAATGAGGACTCGTTCGTCACGCTAGTGTGCCGATGAGAAATAATTTGAGTTGGAACCATGGACACAACCTACAAGGAAAGCACCACATTGCTCTTTCTCGGCCTTGGGAAGGTGGCTTACAGTGTCAAGGATTTGAATACAAGTATTCGCATCGATGTAGATAGCCAAAGCATCTTCAGATGATCTTCTGAACTAGGGGCGACCACGTTAGATTTTAGGAAAGAATGGCGTAGGGTTAACGCAACTCACACGGTAGCCAACGCGGAGTGAACAGATTTTGAGGCCCAAAAGATAGCGGATTTGAGGTCCGTTTTGGCGACTTTTTGCGGACAAGAAATGGCGTGAGCTTCCCGGGGCCTTTCTTGACCCAATCACATTCAACACGATACTCCAACTCCCAAACATTCCTGGTGCCGTCAACGATTGTAAGCACTTTATTTGCCCTTATTGGAATCTTACTCATTTGTGCTCTAGTCCTCGCTGGCCGTATCCTCTGGAAGGCAAGTTAGTTTCGTTTGACTGAGCTTCCCTTTGACACGCTTTTTCCCAATAGGTTCGGCGGTTCCCCTTCCACAACATGCACCCTATACGGACCCACTCGAGGTTTTGATTTGTGGAGGATCTACAATTGGTGCTGGGATTGCACTAGACAACCGCGTGACCATTGCTCCGGAGGCCCACACTGGCCCACATGGACATTAGAAAGGATGGCAAGTTGGCCCTCTTCCAAAAATCTGGGCTCACAATCCTGACAACCTTCCGCAGCCTTCCAAGCGCGTTATGCCATGCATGGTCGCCTTGCCCGACGGTACTTACATGATAATGAACGGAGCTCACCAAGGAGTCGCAGGTTTTGGTTTAGCTAACGACCCGAACTTCAATGCTGTCTTATACGACCTGGCTCTGCCCGTCGGCCAACGCATGTCCATCCTCAACAGCACTATCGTAGCCCGCATGTACCATTCAGAGGCGATTCTGTTACCTGACGGACGGATTCTCGTCTCAGGTTCTGATCCTCAAACCAATAACCCGGATGGCACCGTCAAGTATCCAGAAGAATTCCGCATTGAGGTGCTTTCTATTTTCCTGTTATTATTATCACTAAACCCCTCTCATCTGCATTCGCAGGTTTACATTCTACCATCCCTCAATCAAGGATTTCAGCAACCAACCTTTACGGCCCCGGACACCGATTGGGCTTATGGTGAAACAGTCACTATCACAAACGTGCAGCTATTCCAGGGGACCACTGCGACGTTGCGCGTATCCCTTATTGCTGGTTAGCATGCCCATCGATTTTGCCCTCGCTTCTGCTTACGCCAGGTTTCCACAGCTACATCGAGTACCCACGGAAACACCATGGGAGCGCGGACGATCTTCCCCGCCTTCTCATGTTCCGGAACCATATGTACAATCACTGCACCTCCGAATGCCGGCGTCTCACCACCAGGTTGGCACCAGCTATTCATTTTAGATGGACCAACGCCCTCTCATTCAACCTGGGTCCGTATCGGCGGAGATCCATCGCAACTGGGCAACTGGCCACAGCTCCCGGGTTTCACCACCCCCGGTATTTAACATCAAACTAATACGGAACTTTTTTTCCCCTTTCTATGAACTTTTCTTATGACGATCCAATATCATGGCTTCGGACTACCCCACTTTTACCACCCACGTGGAACACTCAGCTCTCGTTTGCTCGTACTTGTAACATGTTTCGTACACTGCAGTAAGGCTGGAATTCCAATCTATTGGTGTTCCTGTGGTCGTGTGCTGAGGCCGAGGAGGAATGAGATACCTGACTTTGCCCATAGGGTGTTCAACCTTCAAGGAAATGCATTTATTTAAGCTACTGACATCCCCTCTACATCAAGTGCTGCGGAGTACATATCCAACTTGCGTAAGGTGACATTTCGTGGCTGCGGACATTTGAGTAGCTGTTTGTGTTCAATGATAAACAAAAACTTCCAAGTAGATCGGGGTGGGGGATCGACCACGTATTTCTTGAAGAAGTCAAGTAGACCCTTTTTGACGTCGTGGGAGCCTGCAATAGTAAATTGGAGAATGAAGAGCCCCTCATTAAGCCAGATAAACGAATCAAGTGCCTCCTGGTTGTGCGCTAGAGGGACATACAGGACCTCGCGGGCAAGTGTCAGGGCTTCTTTACTTGAGAATTCTTGGGTTCGAATGGGTTTGATATTAATATTGAATCGACGTGTAAAGGCCTCCTGACGCCGTTCCTCCAGTTGCGAATTGGTCAAAATTTCGTGGCTGGAGTGCCATTGAGGCAATCCCCTTGAGACTCGACCCAGTTTTACCATTGGAACGACCGTGAGTGTAATTTCCTCCTGGAGGGCTGTCTGCGCAAGAGCCTCGAAGAATATACCAGCCATCCTCCTCCCTTCAGGCACGGCTGCAAAGAGCTTGAAGAGACGTACATGTTCCTTGCGTCCCAGGTTGCGGAACCGATTGGAGAGTCTTGATTGAATGTGAGGGGTGATGGGAACGACCACGCCTCGGCTGCGCAAAATTTCCGGTGATTTGCGACTGAGGAGAGCAATCTTGTGAGACACGGAATCGGCCCCAATATTCGCGCAGGAAGCTGTCTTGATCAGTGCTTCAAGATCTTCCCACTTGGTCTTCGAGATTGCGGAGTCAAGACGTTCTATGTACTCACCCATAGCTTCAGGGTCGGTTTGATATTCGATGCAGAGGCGAGGCGTAGGACCAAATTGATCAAATATTTCGTTCGTACGAGACTCGTTGGTGCGGCCTAAGGGGTCTACTGATGCACTACAGGTCCTCAAGGTGTGAGCCTTGTTGCAAGGTCAAATGCTGGACTCACGCTCGTAATATTTCTTCCCTTTTCCATGGATTCATAATTACTTTTGCCATTCGCGTCGTCTTTTCTAAACGGGACCACCTGCTCTCGCGTGGAGAGGTTGAGTAGATGACGAAATGTGGAGTCCCGTGCGAGGCTAGATAATCGGGAACGCCCGCCTTGGCCTCATCGGAATCGACCAAGGTCCAGATGATTCTTTCGAATTGAGCCTCCTTGTAATCGGCAGGCATCCGGTAGACACCCTCCTCCACAAACAAGTAGCAGCGCTCTTGGTAGTGCCACATGACCGGTTTCTTTTCGGCAAGGCATCGGCGCAAAGCGTAATAAACCCAGACGCTCTTGCCTTTTATGCAACGGTGTCAGTGTTTAAACAATCCGAGGAGGCGACAAGCTCACCGATCCCTGGTTGACCTGTGACAACTACAGAGGGCGGTCTATCCACCACCTGGGTGTGTTGGTCATAATAAGCGATGAGGAAATTGAAAATACGAATGTATTCGGCTCGAATCCATAACTTTGAGTGCACGAGTCCTTTGATGTTGATGTCCAGCATGTAACAACCGGAAATGATATCGTCGTCTGGCGTGGCCTCATCCGTTTCGTCCACAACCGCTGTCTCATCCACAACCGCTGCCTCATCCACGTCCATCTTCTCGTCATCGACGGCGTGCACGTGCTCCTCTGCTTCCTGATCCTGTAACCCAAACTCAGTTCCGATAGTAGGACTGACCCGCTGTGCGTTAAGCCACTCCTGCTCCTCGGCCGCCATGTCCGTGCCCCAAAATTTTGCGTAAAACAGAGCAAGGGTACTAGTTCTGTGGACTGTCGACCATGGTTTCATATCATCTGGAATTTCGATGATCGATGCCAATGTTGAATCGGATACCTGTTGTGGAGACATGGCGATTAGGAGAGAAGAGCCCAGAGCACAGCCACGCTCCCAGTTTATATTGCTTTGGTGCATGACCAATCAGATATCGAGTTTAACCTGTTTAAGTACTCAAGTACTCAAGCTCAAGCTTCACAAAAGCTTCAAGTCCAAAATTGGTGGCTCAACTGCACGTGCACACCCACATTCCTCGTGTCCGCTGACAGGAGACTTCGAGCCGCTGCTCAAACCTACAGTCCACTCACTTTACAGTGTTTTGCATATTGTTTTGCACAACAGATTTTCGTGAGCCCTATTTGGTTGTGTTGTGACATGACAGTTTTGGTCACTTTAAGGTCTGGTATCTGGAATCTGGCCCATTCCTCAAAGAATCTGAACATATATTATTACAATAAACATTATGGCACCTCGGCTAGAAGTGTTTTGGACACGGAAAAGCGAAGACGGCGTGCATTCAGGGTTTGGGACATACCAAAAAGGTCACATCACAACACGACCAAACAGCGTTCAGAGAAATGCGTACCTGGAGCAAGGTCTACACTGCTAGCTATTTGATAGTTAAAAGGTGTAAGTGGAACATAAAAACAACTAAGACGGTGAGCCCACAACTTTGGGCATTTTCAATTGGCTTAGCCAGCCCAGAGCCGCTCAGGGCGGCCCAGAGATCACTACACTACAGTGATAGGCCTGGGAGCGTGGCTGTGCTCTGGGCTCATCCTAATACTTATGTCTTCACAACAGATATCTGAATCAACATTCGCGTCTAACGTCAGAATTCCAAGCTGTATGCAACCATGGCCGAGACTCGATGGAGCCGATACCCTTGCTCTGTTGCACGCAAAATTTTGGGGCACGAACATGACGGCCGAGGAGCAGCAGTGGCTTAACGCACAGCGGGCCAGTCCTGCTACGGGAAGTGAGTTTGGGTTACGGGCTGAGGAAGGAGAGGAGCACATGGACGCCCTCGATATCGAGAGGGTCGTTGTGGATGAGACAGCGGTTGTGGATGAGACAGCGGTTGTGCATGCGACAGCGGTTGTGGATGAGACAGCGGTTGTGCATGCGACAGCGGTTGTGGATGAGACAGCGGTTGTGGACGAAACCACGGATGAGGCAACGACATTGGACCCGGACGACGATATCATTTCCGGTTGTTACATGCTCAACATCGACATCGATGGACTCGTGCCCTCAAAATTGTGGATTCGAGCCGAATACATCCGTGTTTTCAATTTCGTTAACGCTCGTTATGACAAACTCACCAAGGTGGTGGGTAGGGCGCCCTGTGTAGTTGTCACGGGCCAACCAGGGATTGGTGAGCTTGTCGCCTCCTCGGATTGATTCGAAAATGACACCGTTGCATAAAGGCAAGAGTGTGTGGGTCTATTACGCTTTGCGCCGATGCCTTGCCGAAAGGAAACCGGTCATTTGGTACTATAAAAAGCGCTGGTACTTGTTTGTGGAGGAGGGTGTCTACGGTATGCCTGCCGATTTCCAGAGAGCTCAATTCAAACGAATCATCTGGACCTTGGTCGATTCCGATGAGGCCACGGAGGGCGTTCCCGAATATCTAGTCCCGCACGGGACTCGACTTTTTGTCATCTTCACAACCTCTCCACGCCGTGACAGGTGGTCGCGTCTCCACAAGACGGTGCAAATGGCAAAGGCCATCATGAATCCTTGGAAAAGGAAAGAAATATTACGAGCGTGAGTCCAGCATCTGACCTTGCGACAAAGTTCACATCTTGAGGACCTGTAGTGCATCGATAGACCCCCTAGGCCGCACCAGCGAGTCTCGCACGAACGAAATATTCGATCGGCTTGGTCCTATCCCTCGGCTCTGCATCGATTATCAACTAGACTCTCTGGCTATGAATCAGTACGAACGGGACCTCGACACCGCAATCTCAGAGATCACGGCAGACGAACTCGAATCATTGGTCATAAGTGCGGACTTCGGCATCGATTCCGTGTCTCACACGATTGTTCTTCTCAGGCGCGAATTATTAGACAATGTGTGTTGCCGAGGCGTGGTCATTCCCATCACTCCTTACGTCCAATCAAGACTCTCCAATCGGTTCCGCAACCTGGGACGCAAGGAACATCTACGTCTCTTCAAGGTTTTTGCAAATATGCCTAACGGGAGGAGGATTGCTGGCGTATTTTTCGAGGCCCTTGCACAGACAGCCCTCCAGGAGGGAACCACACCCGAGCTCTTCCCACTAGTAAAGTTGGATGAAGCTCGAAAGCGAGCGCCTTGGTGGCGCTCTAGCCACGAATTCTCAACCAATTCACAACTGGAGGAACGGCGTCAGGAGGCGTTGACACGTCGGTTCAATATCAATATCCAACCCATCCGAACGGAAGAATTTCCAGATAACAAACGCCTGTCACTCGCCCGCAATGTCATGTATGTCCCGGAAGCAGACAACAAGGTGGTACTCAACTCATTTATCTGGCTCAATGAGGGGCTTTTCGTTTTCCAATTCACTATCACAGAACCCCATGACATCCAACAGGGTATACTTGACTTCTTCAAAAAATATGTGGACCCATCTCCATCCCCATCAAGCTGGAAAATTCTGTTTATCATTGAACCTGAGCAGAAACCAATTTGTCCTCGACCACGAAATGCCAATTTACGCACGATGGATATGGACTTTGCAGTACTTGATGTAGAGGGGATGTCAGTAGCTTAATGCGTTTCCTTGAAAGTTGAATATCCCGTTCCTCCATCGGTCCCTCTCTTCAGCTTCCTGGAATACGCCCTCACAACCACTCAAACCATGGTAAACCCGGGGAGCTTTTCGAAGGTCATCAGTGAGTGCCATGTGAAGAGCTCGCACCAGAACGATTGAGGGGGATTCTGCTGAACCTCGTCAGGCTATTCTTGTTGAATGAGCCGGACCCTGCTGCATAGCAGGATTCAGTTTAGCGACGAAGTTCATATTTTTATACTCTTATCTTGAAAACGTTGAATCTACCTTGATGCTCCCCCTATGATGTGATAGAACTAGTAGAAGAATGGATTCCTGAACCTCTCGCCCACCCCGTCACCACCACCCAGGCCCCAAGCCCAAGCTCGTCGGCTCACAGAAGGGGTCGGATATGGCGGTTGTTCTGCACATTTAATTCCCGCACGCAACTTTCCGAGCGCGCACGCAACTTTCGCCCAGCGCGCAACTTTTGGATTCTAAATTCGGTTGTTTGGTCTAGCATTTCTCATGCAACGTCACCCAAGCAATCCTCAACATCGTCCCGAAGTCTCTCATCGTCGTTGAACACGGCGAGCTCACAGTACATCCATTTATTGCCTAAATCTTCTTTTCTCTGTTTCCACTTCAAAATATCATGTAGAGTATAATTGCAGAATCTATTGTATCAAATAATTTGCATTGAAACTAAGGTACGAGCTCATTGTGCTTGACAGCGAGTGGCATATGTCCGTCAACGTGTGAAAGCATAGAAGGTTTGACATTGCCAAAAAGTCGGGGAGTTGGAAAGTCCGGATTGTCTGGCCGACCCAAGGCCGACCCACCCTTTGTCCGGCCGAACCTTTGTTTGTCCATTTGGCGCTCCAGTTCGTTTTCTCATGCCATACACACTCTTGTCTCCATCATCTCCACAGGTACGTTATTCATGGTTTTGGTGAGTACATGACATCGCTGTGCTCGTAGCTGTGATTAACAATAAGTATAGGTGTTTCAACCATGGTGGGCCATGGGGAACTCCACCATTTGCGTCAAGCACTCACCACTAGTAAGTTAAGGCTCCATCGTAACATTGGCTTGTAATTGACAGAAGGGATCAGTACAACAGGACAACAATCTTTAAAGTAACTCGCCCTTCCCTCAAAATCAACTTGCCGACCTGTACCATGTCAGAACACCATGTCTGACTCACGGCAATTCTTCTGCAGCAACCACAAAGTTATGGTTCCGGTCCAGATTTGCATCAGCAATGAAAACGGGAATGCAGGGAGAAAGTTCACAAGCTGCACGCTGCTCACGCCTGAGGGGGATGAGTGTAGTGTTCGCAGGTCCAGTTAAGTCCAGTTTTTTACCTCAAAACGACGCAACTGGCAACCGCAACTGGTCTAGACTGATCCAAATATTGAGGAACCACAACTGGACCGCTTTGGACCGGTCCTAATCGGTCCACAATGCAAAAAAAACCGGTCCAGACCGGTTGCGACGGTCTTTTGTTGAAAAATTTATTGTGCCAGATATATTAAATGTTACCTCACGTATATAGCATGTGTAGATAGATAATTTAATTCTCCGTACGCTGGCCAAGATTTGAAGCGATTCGGTCAAGATTTGACTGAGATATGGTGAAAACGGAGAGAACATACATTCAAATTGCATATAAAAATGTTTTTGGCCATATCTCAACCAATTCTTGACCGTTTTTGATGATTCAGGGACCGAAAATTAAGTAAAATGTGCACGAGTAAGGTACAATATGTGATGATACAAAAGACCGGTTGCAACCGGTCTAAACCGGTCTTTTTCGGTTTTTATATATTTACAAAAACATGGCAACTGGCAACTGGACTGATCACAAATGTGGGCAACTGGCAACTGGAAAAGACCGGACCGTGGTTCAGTCCAGTTCAGTCCTATGTATATTTTCAGTCCTGTAGACTGGACCTGCGAACACTAGATGAGTGCCCCTTCGATGGTGCACCCCCAAGAGTTCACCTGCCACCTTGCAAGCCAGCTCACCATCCCTGACACCAACCGCCATGCTTCCTGGTGCCACTAGTGTTTGAAAGTCTGGTCTGGTCTGGTTATTGAGCCCTTGAGGGCTCTAACCGAGACTGAAACCAGTTACCTTGTGCCACGAAACACAAAATAACCGAACCGGACTGCTACTAA